TCCGGCGGGTTTGATAATATCGCGACGATGGCGGAGGAGACGAGAAATCCGTCGCGAGATATTCCGTTGGGATTACTCGGCTCTATGTCGATCATCACTGTTATCTATTGCTTGATGGCACTGGCGCTCAGTATGATGCAGAGGTAATTTTGCAATTTTTTTTTAACATCAATAAATTAAAAGAATATCTGACAAAACTTATATTAAATTTAATATTATATATAATATTTAAACACTATACTAATATTAATATAAATTTTAGAATAATAAAGTATATTCTTTTTAATATAATAATATTATGATTAAATTTATGTATAAATATATATCTCACATAATTTTTATGTATTTATATTTTTTAATTTTAAAATTCTGATAGTTATCTTATAATACTTTAGTTTTTTTATCATATTAAAATATGTATGAAAATATAGATTTCAATATTTGAATATAAAAAAAGTAATGTTTGGTATGTAATATTTGGTAATTAAATGGTGTATATGTAAATTCACTAATTTTTTATCATATTTTGTAAATTATATTTATTTTGAATTAAGACAATGACTTTGAGACCATCATTGATTAAATTTTTATTTGACTTTTTTAGCTAAAGAATCATTCATTTTATTGGATTTTTTCTACTATTGCATTAATATTAAATAATATTTTGTTGAAATATTTATATAATGCTAAAAAGCTTAGGAGATTCAGGATTTTATTATTGATGGTAATTTGTAAGTAAATGAAGATTAAAATATATAGCTAGTGGTAATAAAAGAAAATTATATTGTTCATTTGAATAAGTCTTATTTTATTATATTATATCTTAATATTATATTAATAGTAATGTTTTATTTATTGATAATATACAATAAATAAATTAAGATTAAACAAAATTGAAATATAATATATGTTAATATTTTTTATTATATGCATTAAATATTTTGAACAAAACAAATATCATATTATTATATATTTATAAGTCAAAATTTTAACTAAATAGATATTACAAAGACTATGTATTAAAAATATACATTAATTATGATAATAACACGGTGATAATTTTCGTTTTTTTCGGTTTAGTTTTTTAATTTAATTAAAATAAATCAATTATCATGTAAATATGATATCTATTTTACTCCTAAAAAGTTACTTTATATTGAAGTAAGGTTCATCAAAAAATCAATTAAAAAGATTTTTTTTTCTTATTTTATATAAATTAAAATGAATTTTTTTCCATTTAATAAACATGAAATAATGGCATCTCTTGTAATTTATTTCTTTGCTTAAATCATTTGAACATTGACTTCTCATTTAATTTTTTTTTTAAAGAATAAATATTCAACACATAAACATTTAAGTTATATTTGGGCTCGCTTTCTTTTTTTCGTAAAATATATAAAAAGATGACAAAATATAATTATTTTTTATTCAAAAAATGTTTTTTTTAATAATAAATGTGAAGTTTTTAAATATTTTAAAAGTAAGGCCATAAATAAAAGTCATCCTAACAATCCCATTAATATCATTTAAAATAAAAAAAAAACATTATATAAAGTAAAAAATGAAATACTTTTAGAATTCTCCATTTATTACTATTTTCAGTAATTTTTTACTTTTTAGATTATATTTATTTATTAAACAAATGCCAAGTCTTTTAAACTCCTTTAATTTTGTCATTTAATTAAAAGCTATATGTAACAAAATTAATCTCAATATTTTTTTTTTTTCAATTTAATTAAGAGCCTTTCTCATCAAAACTGAAACTCTCAACAGGTACACCGCCATCGACCCCAACGCCGCCTACTCCGTCGCCTTCCGCAACGTCGGAATGCGGTGGGCCCAATACGTCGTAGCCCTCGGCGCCCTCAAAGGGATGACCACCGTCCTCCTCGTCGGCGCCATCGGCACCGCCCGCTACACCACCCACATAGCCCGCAGCCACATCATCCCCCCTTTCTTCGCACTCGTCCACCCCAAAACCGCCACTCCCATCTACGCCACTCTCCTCATGACTGTCTCCAGCGCCATCATCGCCTTCTTCTCCAGCCTCCACATCCTCGCCAGCCTGCTCTCCATAAGCACTCTCTTCATCTTCATGATGATGGCCACCGCTCTGCTCGTCCGGCGTTATTACGTTAGAGGCGTTTCGACGAAGAAGGACTTGGTTAAGTTCGTTGTCTGTTTGGTTGTGATTATTTTGTCTTCGGTGGGGACTTCGGCGTATTGGGGGTTGAGGCCGGGGGGGTGGGTTGGGTATCTGGTGACGGTGCCGCTGTGGGTGGCGGGGACATTTGGGATGTGGTTGTTTGTGCCGAAGGCGAGGGAGCCGAAGGTGTGGGGAGTGCCGATGGTGCCGTGGCTGCCGGCGCTGTCGATAGGGACGAACTTGTTTTTGATGGGGTCGTTGGGCGGTGACGCCTTTGTGAGGTTTGGGATATGTAGTGGGTTGATGTTGCTTTACTATGTGCTGGTTGGAGTTCATGTGACTTATGATGTAGCGCATGAGCATGAGGAAGGAGAAGAGAAGGCTCTTCGTGGGAAGGTTGAGGATGGAGGCGACGCCGATCGATCTGTGGCTTAGTGCTTGGAGAGTATTGTTTGGATGGTGATTGTAGATTGAGAGTGGGTTGGTGTAAATGAGTCGAGTCGAGCTCGAGTCATCTCTGGCTTGAGTTTTGTCTTGATTAGTTAGGCTTCATTTGAGACGGCTTTCTTACTACTTTTTAAAACGGCTTTTTAGTCCAAAAATTAAAAATTTTAATACTAAAAAGCTTCTTTAAGAAGCAATAAGAAAGCCGTTCCAAACGAAACCTTAATCAAGTTCGAGCTTGAGAGCTCGAAGCTTTATTCTACTAGTTTAAGCTGGCTTATTAGGAAAGAGAAATGATTATGATGTGATGTCTGTATTAATTTATTTTAATTTACCTAAATGAAATAAAATAAAGAAGAATAAAAGAAAAAACTTTCACAGCTTGATGTGTTTGAAATTCTATGATTTGATGTGTGGGTGTGAAATGTAACAAAAGTTATTGGCATTTGATTTTCAACTTTTTTGACTTTTCTTTAATGATGCATTGATTGAAGGGATGAGGCAGATGAAATTAACTATACAATGTTGTTTTAGAATAATTTATGGGTGTTGGAATTTAGTGAGATTTAATTTACTTATAGGGTGTGATGACCCAGAATCTAAATTAAAAGAATTATTCATTTATATTTTAAATAAACAATCAGAGCTATCTAATATCAGCCGTCAGTAATAAACAATACAATATATTCTATAATTTAAAACATCAACGTACACATATGTGTTCATTCCCAAAAATCTTATACACTATTAAAGACTATAATAAAAAGAAACAGAACCTGAAAAATCCTGATCAGCCTCACACTCATGCTCCCTTACCTTTACATGAAATCATTTAACCATATATAATGAGCTTAAAAATCCAGCAGGTCGTATAATTGAATTCAAAACATGGTAAAAGAGCAATATGCATGTTAAGGGTCAAATCATATGAGTAGTAGTTATATGATCATTAAATAAGTGCAAGAATAAGTAAAATCTGTAAATAATAAAATATTACAATACAAAAGTTAGTAAACTAATATGAATGTCAAATCCATAAATCAATTATATCTCCATAATTAAATAAAATATCAAATCAAAATAAAGACTGTCAAAATCAATTACTGCAGAAAAATTATATGAGAATGTATCCATACTATCCAGGTATTTTATATTACATGCTCAGTATATCATATGCATAATATCAATATAGTAAATCAGTAGTATCAAATATTATATGTATCTATATTAGTAATAGTAATAATCATGTGGGAGGAGCAGTAGAGTAATATAATAATAGTAAATTCGTGTATTAATAATAAATTCGTACAATAATAAAAAAATTGCCTCAAGAACATGCATTTATGTAGTCACATAAAACAAGTAAGAAGTCCTAGATATCACAGTATTTTTCAGTGTTAGTATCAATGTTAGTAAACTGTTGGGTCATTAAATATATAGTCGTCCTTGTTTGCCCATCGGCATAATAATGATCTCCTTATAACTCTCAATCAGTGTATCACGTGAATTAATAGAGATTAACATCAAACCACAATATTTAAAGGAAAGTCCATCAACTCTCCATCCTGTACAGGTCAATCAGTCTCCAACCAACGGATCAACTAGTCTTTATTTATTTGTTTCATACACACATATTATTATCATAATACTATAATAGTAATAGTGACCAACTATTACTCAAGCACATATCCACATCCACTTTTAATGTATTGCAACAAATAATATACAATTGAGTTTAATTAAAAAGATGTCAAAATGTCATAATGATAGACAACAAAGAAATCCTATTAAGAAAAAATACACATTTTTTAGAAAATTATCAAAATACTAGAAATTGTATAAAATGATGTTTTAAGACTTTTATTATACTAAACTATTATTTTTAGACGTTAAAATAATTTTTTTAGTAGACAAAATTTTTTAATTTTTTAAAATCACATCGTAAAAATATTCAAATAAGTAAACCAAGTAAAATACCTTTAAAATTCAAATAAATTATTTTAGAACTAAAAATTATAAAAAAATATTTTAAAATAAATCATGTTATTTAAAAAAATATCGATGAAATCGATTTGCAAAATGAACACCTGAAGGTCTTGAAATCCTCACTTGTACCGACATGTACAAATTCCTTAAAGATTTTCATAGGTGTCCAAAAATTATGAAAAAAATCCGTGTAAGTAAAATACTTCAATCAAAATATCATTGCAAAAATGATTTGAGATTTGTAGTTATAATGACTCCAAAAAAATTTGGCAAAGTCAAAATACAGGTTATTACAATCTACACACTTTAAGAAAATGTTGTCCCCTGCATTTTCCTTAATGATTCAGGTATAAAATCAAATTAAAGCAAATTTGTATGATCAAAACTCAAATAAAATAAAAACTTATAAAAATCATGCAATTCATTCTATTACATGTCATTTAATTATGCATGTAAACTAATACATCTTAAACTACCCATTCTATCCAACTCTCAATCAAGTCCTACAGCTGTAGTAACAATCAATTCTTCCAACAACTTTGCTCTGATACTAATTGTGATGTCCCAGAATTTAAATTAGAAGAATTATCCATTTGTCTTTTAAATAAACAACCAGAGCTATCTAATATCACATATTAGTAATAAACAATACAATAAATTCTATAATTTAAAATATCAACGTACACATCTGTATTCATTCCCAAAAATCATATATACTGTTCAGGACTATAACAAAAAGAAATAGAACCTAAAGAATCCTGATCAGCCTCACACTCATGTTCCCATGCCTTGACCTGAAATCATTTAAGCACATATAATGAGCTTAAAAAGCCAGTGGGTCACCAAAACCTTAACTGAATTCAAAGCACTGTAAAAGAATAATATGTATGCTAAGGATCAAATTATAGAAGTAGCAATTATATGATCATTAAATAAGTGCAAGAATAATAAAACTCAAATACATTAGCAGTAAAATTGTTAAACAATAAAATACTACAATACAAAAGTTAATAAACTAGTATGAGTGTCAAATTCATAAATCAATCATATCTCGGTAATCAAATAAAATATTAAATCAAAATAAAGACTGTCAAAATAAATCAATGTAGTAAAATCATATGAGAGTGTATTCATACTATATATGTATTATATATCACATGTTCAATATATCACATGTATAATATTAGTATAGTGAATCAATATTATCAAATAGTATCGATATTTATATCAATAACAGTAATAATTTAGTGATAGGAGCATTAGAGTAATAAAATAATAATAAATTAGTGCAGTAATAATAAATTTGTAAAACAATAAGAAAATTACCTCAACAACATTAAACAAGTAAGAAGTCCTACCTATCACGGTATTTTTTAGTATTAGTATCAATGTTAGTAAATTGTTGACTCAATAAATAGAGTCGTCATTCTTTGTCTGTCGGCTTAGTAATGATTCTTTTATAACTATCAATCAGTGTATCACGTAAATTAATAGAGGATAACATCAAATCATAATATTTAAAGGAAATCTCATTGGTTCACCATCATGTATAGGTCAATCAATCTCCAACCAATAGGTCAATAAGTCTTTATTAGTTTGTTTCACACATACATATTATTATCATAATACTATAATAATAATAGCGACTAACTATTACTCAAGCACATATTTACATCCGATTTCAATGTTTTGCAACAAATAATGCATAATTGAGCTTAATTAAGAAGATGTCAAAATATCATAATGGTAAACAACAAATAATCCTATTAGGAAAAAATGCACATTTTGAGAAATTTGATAAAATACTAGGATTTGTATAAAATGATATTTTAAGACTATTATTATACTATACTACTATTTTTAAACGTCAAAATAAATTTATAGGTAGACAAAAATCATTATATTTTTAAAATTATCATATAAAAAATCTCAAATAAATACTCAAAATGCTCATAATTATAATATCTATAACATACAAAAAATTACGTGAGGAAAGTTTTGTCAAAATAATGTTATTAATGTTTTTCGGCAACTAAAAATAATAAAAAAAATTTAAAAAAATGGTAACAGAAATACAAAATTGATCAAAAAAATATAAAAAATATAAAATCTTTGAAATCAGAAATAGTGTAAAGGTTCCTTATAACGAAACAAGTAAATATACCAACTGGCCTGATAGACAAAAATCGCACCGTGACCTTCAAATCAAAGAATTTTCCTTCTCTCTCCTCTCACATTTCTCATTTTCTTCAAACAAATTCTCTGCCCGAAAGGTACAAATTTCTTAAGGATTTTCACCGGTGCCCAAAAATTTCAAAAAAAATTCGTTTAAGTAAAATACTTCAATCAAAATACCATGGCGAAGACGATTTGCGATTTGGAGTTAATAATGACTCCATAAAAAAATTGGCAAAGTTAAAATACGAGTTATTACATAGGGTGAAAAAATAAAATAAATATGTAAAATATGATAGTTTAATAAATATATATTATCGTGTTTCCGTTATTGGAGACTTGGGCTTCATTTGGGACATCTTGCTTATTATTTTTTAAAATAGCTTTCTAGGAAACAAAATTAGTTATAGAAATTTTGTACTAAAATATTACTTTAGAAAGTAGTAAAAAGTTATCTCAAATGAAGCCTTAGTTTAGCGGACCTTAATATACAAAGCACTTCAAGAGTCTTATATAGGTTGTTTGATAACTAAATTTTGAAAAAGAAAAATATTTTTAAGAGATCAAAGAATTAAGCTTCGCAATTTAATAAAGGATTATGCTCATGTTGGTGAAATTTATAAAATATTGTTTAAAGTTTGTGTGACAAAATAATTGTGTTCGATGGAATGAGTTATTTAGGCAAATCAGGCAATAAAAAAAGTTATATTAGAATTGCCTCTAGTGTGTCATACAAAAACAAATTTTTAGATTTGTCGCTAAGGAAAATCTATTTACTTGTGAGAATTTTTGCAACCGGACGCTATGATTAGTTGAGTACTTTTGACCTCACCCTTCCTTGAACTCCTCTTGGATTTTCTAGGACCACACGTTCATCTCCTTCACATCAATAACAATCTCTTTGCCTAACTCATTGCCTCAGCCTAGGGGTGTCAATTCAGGTTGGTGGTTCGGTTTGAGTCTAATTAAAATTGACTTGATTCAAATATGTTTGACCTGAATGTAACTTATTTATCATATGAGACAAAATGCTTAACCTCAAACCTAACCAATTTGACCAAGATCATGTAAATTTTTAAATTGACAGGGTTTGATTGACTCAATTACAATACATTTAACCCAAATCTGAATGATAGATGATTCAATTTTGGGTCATCCCAAACCCGGTAAGCAAAATTAATCATGTCAAGATTTTAAATATGAACCCAACCAAATAAATAATCGGGTCAACCTAAACTCGAATTTCTTGAGTTTAGTTCGGGTAAAGTCATTTATTGACACCCCTACCTTAGCCCTCTCTCTTTTGATTTGACTCTTGCCTCCTCTTATCACATGTATGAATTTGGAGGTGGTTTTAAGAATAGAAGTCGATATCTACCTACCTCGCAAATATAAAAAATGAATTAATATCAAAGGAAACCGATTGCATGATAAGAAATTGAAAAGAGTATGCAATCTATATTGAAGGAGCCCCAACAACAAGCGATGATGGTGAATATGAATTTTATTTACTTTATCTAAACTATTTATGTCTTTCTTTATTCTTGATAAAAATAACTAATGTAATTCTTGCATCAAAACTCTACCATTGTACTATTTTTTTATTTTTTTACATAAAGATTAAGTTGTTGGAAATTAATTACTTCATGATTGTTGTGACACAATTGGTAGCAATTCGATCAAAAAAATATCCATTTTTTTTCCATCATGATTGTTGTGACCATTTGTTTAAGGCTATATATTCTACAACTATATTTTGATGGTCACAATTAAAATGTAATAAACGTTTTTATGAACATCACTATGATAAGTTGATTGGCCAAAATTTTATTTTTGCAATGAGATATTAGTCTGAATAGAAGAGTAGTAATTGTCACTATTTTTTTTAGTGTGACTACTAAGTAAAAGCGGTAGTTCAGACTTTATTCATTACTATAGGCCAATAATTCTTAACCAATCAATTGATCTTAAATGCTACAATAGCTATTGTAAATCCTAACCAACTCAATCACATCACTCAATTTGGCGACCTCATGTCGTGCTTCATGATGCCTCCCTAATTATGTGAGATTATGAAAGGTTTGATACCCTTAGATTAATTCCAAGGTATAATTGATTCCAAGGGGATTCAATTCAACCTATTTCATACATGTTAATATCATCAAACAATGTTTTGACAAATAAACTCGAATAGGTCAAATATTCTTAGTGGATTTATCTTGACATCTTTTACACATGTTAATATCATCGAGTGACAAACAACCACAGATTGGTCAAACATCCTTAACAGATTGTCGTCGTACTTCCGCATAACCATCGTTGGACGTCCGCCAATCTCTGTCAAACTTCCATCAAACCATCGTCGAACCACCGCCCTGCCACTGACCGTTGTTAAACCATTGCCTGACTATTGCTAGACCATTGTCCGACCGTCGATAACCATTAGATCACTTCCACCAGGCCCCCGACCACCATTTTACATCCGCTAATCATCATTAGACTTATGTTCGACCATCATCAGACCACCACCCGATTACCAACTGCCATCATACTTCTGCCCAGACACCGATCACAACTGAATTTTTGTCTAACTATCATTGGATATCCACCTGATCGATGCTAAATTTTTGCCTAACCATTGTCCGACTTCCACTCTTTCGCCATTAGAATTTCACCCTAATTGCCTTCAGACTTCCACCCGATCGTTATTGAAACACCGCCTAGCCACTGATCATTGCCAACCTTTAGACTTCTGCTTGATAGTTATAAAATCAACCACGTTGGACCTCTGCTCGGTCTCCCACATTCACTGGGCTGCCAATCACCGCCATACCTTCGCCCTGCCTCCAATTTTTCCCTTTTTGAGATTTTTACATAATTTTTTTTGGTGTTTCTCTACTCTCTCTCTCTCTCTCCAACTATCTATTTGTGTGTTGTGAATCACGTAAAAAAATTCCCCCACTCTACCGCTGTGAATATACTAACCCTCAACAAATATAATTCTTCTAAAGTCTTATAATTTTTTTAAATTAATGATAGTAAGCATTTGAATTAAATATCTTAAAAATTTATCAAATTTAATTAAAATAAAATTTAACCGTAATTTTAAATTAATTAATTTGTTTATGAGTTGGAGAATTATCATAACTTATACTTATCAATTTTGATGATACATTAGTTAGTAATATTATAATATTACATTTTTTAAAATATCAAAATTTACAAAATTATATATTAAAACATATATTTTTTTATAGAAGATGATTGCTTTTATGCTTTGGTGGCGAGTTGCAAGTTATCGTCGAATTCATACCAAATTATGTTGATGGTAAAAATTGGTCAATCATCATAGATGACATTATACCATTGGCACAATTAAAGCTATGAATTATTCGCACGTTATGATATAATTTATCAACACACACAATTAATCTTGTATGTCACGTTCATAATAATGCAGGATATACTGCCACCCATGTCATCAACAATGAAATTTGCAAATATATGTTGATGGAGGCTAAAAGATATAATGTGATTATGTACGTGGAAGATGAAGAACTTTCACTAAGAGAGCCCACCACGACGAGCACAATGAACTTCATATTTAATGATGCTGGCCCATCTATTCAAGTTATTGGTTAGTAAACACCTAAAGTTGAAGATCCATTTCTTGTCTAGTAAAGTTTGAAAAAAATAATTATGTTGATAAAGAGTGTTTTATTTCATAGCCCCACTCTCATGTCTATTGCACAGTGTGTAGCACAATCAACTTTTCAACGGCTATGGAAGCTAATTTTAGTTGGTGCCTAAGCTTATGCGAGTACCCAACTTTTATGCAACAATTAAGAAGCTCGGCCATGTGCAAGTGTTAGTGATCGATGAACTAGAGACATACCTTTGCCTAAGTACTTTTAAGATCCCAATCCTTTTAGGTGGTATATTCAAAGTGGTTCACGCCATTAGACCAACCTTTGAAGCAAATGAAGATGATGTCAATGATTACCAAATAATGAATAGTGGCAGTAAGTGATGCTTTTAGCAATATCCCAGAATGAGACATTCCAAATCCTTCATTCAAAGATTATAACATTGAGAGGCCATGAGTTCATTTAAGAACATGCAAGGCAAAATCATAATGGCTTGTAATCATTGTTCATTAGTAATGTTTTTTTTGAAACTATATGTATAACTGAGAAATGCGATGCCACCAATAATTATGATGCCTCTGTAGTGACTACGATTAGTATAATAGATGTTATAGTTTCCACTGAACTTTATGAAAAGCTAATTTTTCATACAAAGGAATCCCAACAAAGTGCAATTAACAAGTAGTCAATCATGCATAATGTTGAGTACATTAAATCCACCTCTAATAAGAGCATGATAACCAACATATGTGCCCAAAACGATGATCCACAACGTTCATGCCTATGATGCCTACACGCCGTACACAGTAAGATATTAGGTGGACTTTAGAAAATATCTATGTAGTCCTCATCATATATGTACCCATCCAGTAATAATATAATGTAATCGTAATTATAGTTCAAAATTTATCTGTACATACATTACTCTCTTTCTCCACCACTAACTTGACATGGAGCACAAGGATATTATCTCAAGAATGGAATCCAAGTTTAACATTAAGGTCTAGTACGTTAAGGCATGGGATGCATGTAGAAAGGTGATTCAAGTCATTTTCAGTAATTATGAGGACTCCTATTTCTTCCTCTTCTACTTTATATAGGCTACTCATACGACCATACATGGGACTATCTACAATATTCAAGTGGTGTATATATTGAGGGATGTGATATTGTCAGCCAATCCTTATCCTGGATAGGACATTTTGCTGGGCAAGTATCGAGGCACCCTTCAAGTTTTTGTTGGGATCGATGGAAATGGTGACTTATTTCAACTTGCATTTGCAATTATTGAAAAAAAAAATAATGAATCAATGTGTTAATTCCCTTAAATGCTCCATGATCTTATAATCCATGTCAAAGAATGTAAAGACATATGCATAATTTTAGATAGACACCCAAGACTTGTCAGCATAACTAGAAACATGACTGACACATATGTCGAGATGGATTCGATAGGTTGGTCAAATGTGATATGTTGAGATGGACCCTCTTATTCAATGAAGGCCGCCGCTATGGTATTATGATGACAAATGCATCAGAATGCTTCAATGTAGTTCTTAGATGTATACATGGATTGCTGATACAAGGTCTAAATGACCATCTACTATAACTTGGTTACATCATTCCTAAAATATTAGGGTGAGGCATCTAACTAGATAGAGTAGGGTGACTCAAATTATGTTTCACACATACTGATAAGCCTCCAGTGCTCTGAAAGTGAGGCCCATCATTTCCCTGAGCCTATTATAATAAACAATCAAGAAATTAAAGTTTTTGACATATCTTGTCAGACACATAAGGCCAAGATCAAAAGTATAGATATTTGCATGTGCACATGTAATAAACCGTAGCATTATCTTATTCCATGTGTCTATGTTATTACTATAGACGAGGAGAGTTGATGGGATTATGATTCTTTAATATCGTCCCAATATATACTGTACTTTTATAAGGAGATAGTATGTGAAACCCAAAAATGTCAAATCATAGCGTTGCAACGCGCTGCGACGCACTACAATGAAAATAGATGAATTTTTGAAGTTGTCAGAATTCAATAAAATAAATTTTATAAAATTCTAATTTAAATTTTGATCGATTTATATAAAGAACTTAGGATTAATTTTGCATGAATTAAAAAATTAAAAATTGTCAAAGATTATATAAGGCCAAATAACTAAATAACTCATCATTCTCTAAATAACTCTTATGCATATAAGGGCACATGCATAATTTGGACTTTCCCCCTTTCTCCACCACCCAAATAGCCTCAAAGGGACTGAAAACTTTCAATTCCTTCATTTTGTTGGTTCGGCTGAATGCAACAAGGGAGAAAGGGCGACGAGCAAGGTGTTCCGGCGACGGTTTAAAGTGGTTTCCAACGATAGATTTGGGGGGAAATCAAAAGGGAAGATTTAGGATGGAAAAATGTATGTTTCTAAACCTAGAATCCCTTCTTTTCATTTAGATTTTTCATGATAAAAAAAATTATGGTTTTCCCTAAACTTGAAATTCTAGAAGAAGAAAGTTTAGGGAAAGTTTAATGATGATTTTTAACCACAAAAATTTAAAGTTCTCCTAAAATTTTTAGGTTTTCAAAACTAGAGTTTTTCCATATTTCGATTTCTAAGAAGATTCCTTAACAAATGTTGTCCCAAATAGCCTTATAAAGGTTCTTAATGATAAAAATTATAGTTTATCATTATTTTACATTTTTCTAATTTTACTTAAAGAAAATTCAAAAATCATTATGTCCTAAATATTAATTTGGTAAGAGTGAAAGTTTTAGCATAAATTGGTGATTCAAATATAAAATTTTTCGAATTTAGGTTTTAGGCAAAACCAAAAATTAATCTCATTTTAAATTAAGTTAGGTAATTAGAAAGAGTTAGAAAAAGGAAATCATAGGTTTTGACCAAAATTTGGACATTATAAATTTAGGATTAATTTAAATCCAAAAATAATGACATTTAAAATGCTCATTTAATGAAAATGAATTATGATTTAATGTTGGGTAATAGGAATTTTAGAATGGACTAGAACTCTTTTATGTTAGGATTAATAATATACTTCTTCTTTAGAAATATTTGTAGTATCTTCAAAAATGTTTAAAGTAAATTAGATCATCGTAAGAATAATAGGAATCATTGATGTTGATTTACAATTGAGAACTCCAAGTTGAAGGTTTAAGATCTTTTTGATGTTATTTGAACATTGGAATAATTTATAATTAAGTTGATACAAGTATTTGAATCTATAACAAAGCTTGAGGTTTTGGAAAATATTGAAGCTTGGAAACGTTCAATGTCAGTACTCATGACTTTTAATTATGATATTTGCTTCTCTTGCACATGATGTATCAATTACTATTATTATTTATTTGCTCACTGTTAATGTTATATGAATTTTTTTTATGATAGATAATTGATCATTTTAAATTAAAAGATGATATAAATCCTATGTTATCATGATATTTATTATAAGATTAAATATAAAATGATATGAAAAAAGTAAAATAAAATGGTATGATATATTATGATTTGCATGTGAATGTTAACTGATAGAGCTCACTCCTTTATAGTACTAACTAGGGATGCAATGTATCCATGCACATTAAAAGAAAAATGTTACAGAAAATGAAATGGTAAATGAGTACCTTCATTGGTACTAAATGAGACGGCAGCTCCTATGACAGTTGTATTATTTATGAGAAGTGAAAAATAAGAAATATATGAATACATGTATGATATGTATGATAAATATGATTTATGCATAATATGAAAAGTCATGAAATGAAAAAAGTCTCAAATAAAATGATTTAATTAAGAGTAATTATTTTATGATATGAAATGGATAAAGAAAAAGAAGATTTTGCATATTGTTTCTATTGCCTTGAGTTACTGTAATTTAAAAACATGTTTTGCTCACTAAATCATTGTTTATTGTTAGTTGCTCTAACTTTTTTTTTTCAGGTAAGTTTAATATAATCAAAATGAGTAAAAAAGAAAAAAATGTGCATCGTAAATGTGAGATACCGAATGAAATGTAATTGAATGATTTTGTATTAGTTTATGCTCTTATTTGAAGTTTTAGTGGCTCTTTCAAAGTTTATTGAGATAGTTTTAGATGAATTAAAAATTTAATCTATCATCCAAACGTCTATTCCTGTCTCGTTAATTCGAGCTTTTAGACTGGGTCATGACATACTATGGATTATTTCATGTTATTCTAGAGAAGTACTTATGGCCTCATTTTAATCCTTTTAATAACCAATAAAAAATTATCCTTTTGATTGTCCTTGTATTTAGGTGTCATGTTGGTTGACCCCACTCAACTAGAATCCAAAATATGATGGATGAGCCTTCTACATCATCACTTCATGCTTGTAGTTTTTGTAAAAACTTGGGCCATAACAGGGCAACTTGTCCAAATAATACTAGCTCGTCTAGGTTTGGACATGTGCTTTATGTTCTCCTTGGTATACATACATAGTGATAGTTTAATCAATCTTTCCCTTATTACTAATTGCTCAACTTTGAACTAGGTATGGAAGACAATATAGGTAGATCGACACAACATCATTTGCAGTGGCATACTACCTGAAAGATTAAGGATGATGGCATTGCAACTGTTAAGTTTAGTATATCTTCATTTGGCACTTCACGCATGGCAATTAACCTAAATCAAGTATAAAAAGTTAATTAAACTTATTTTTATGGTAGTCATTTTGTTTTAGGTATTGACATGCTTACCTTATTTTTACCTTTTTTCAGGCCTCTCGTTTTGTTGCAGCTACACATATGCTTATGGCACGTGAATGGTCTGGATACCCTCCATCACCTATACTTCATACATTTAGATCATAATATCATTACACTATCTATAGATAGATGGTATCCTTCGACCAACCCTTTTTATTTGACAGTTGAAGAGATGACCATTACACTAAAGGATGTGCATGTGGTTCTTGGTCTTAGATTTGATAGCCCTAGACTTATTGAAGCGATTATCATTTGACATGAATTACACTAGGAGGGTTGGCTAGATTACTATGACGAGCTTCTTAGTGGTCATCATGCACGTAATATTATTTATCATGTTCCCAGAGATGATGATGTGCATGCCATCTTTATGATGGGAACTGCTCAAGTAAATTCAATGCTTCTTCTTTTGTTGCTCCAAGATGATTTACCATTAGCCATACTTTTGGAACATGTTCATGCGTATATCCTATTCATGATAGGATATTTTTTTGATACCAAACACATCATTGTCACACGTATCCTCACAGTGGCTCCACTTTCTTATGCACTTGGAAACATTTGTTAAGATGTTTATTGGCAGTGCCATTTTGGCATATTTTTATGGAGATTTGTGTCATGCGACATGGCCGACATACACATACATTGCTAGATGTGTGGCAATTATGCAAGTTTGGTCATGGGAGCACTTAAATGTTGGAAGATTGATAATTCGAGTTCCTCATGTCTTTGACTTGGGCGAGTATCCACTAGGCTGTAGGTGTGAGGTTTATGCCCAATAAACTCCATCATAATCATGTATTATTGCAACTTCATGCTTAAACGTTTCAACTTTATTGTTGGGTTGAGGATTAGATAAGGGAGATCCCAACACACAACATAATGATGTATAGGGATGAGCTGGATGGTCTATACCATAGCTAGGTTCGTTAAGATATCTAAAATTATACTTGAAATGACAACTCCATATAATTGGCCATTGACCAGACCATGAAACTAGCGAGCAGAGTGCATATATATTATACTATTTTTGATACTACCACAGATGAGCAAGCCTATACTAGGGGAGATGTTAGAGGTATATACACAGTTCAAGGATTTAGAGGATCAACCTCATATGCTCCATCAAGATTCTAAGGGGGGGGGGGGGAGGACATAAATGGCGATCAATTGGGTGAAATCCATAAATGTTATCAGCTGCCCTTGTTCACAGTAACAACATGGATCCCCTAGACATTCCATGTATGTGGGCTTTATCGATTAATTATGGCATAACATCCACATACAACGTAGGCTAGCTTTTGATGCCATGGCCTCCACACCCTCAGGCCCAAGACCTTTACACAGTAGTAAAACCCATATGATGTGCAGGTTGGTGATGCTGCAGATTTTTACTATGGCAACTAGTCTCAACAATCAAATTTATATTCATCATTTCACATGTCTATACTGGATTGGATGACACCTTTAGACTTGATGTCATCTCCTACGCAACAAGATATACTCTTATGTGGAGGACATCCATCCCAGGAGTACCTAGGTTTTTAGGAGGATGAGGATGTAGGTGACAATCCACAGCTTCAGAGACAAACATGATGTGAGCTCTGAATTGATACACCTCTGGGAGTGGTGTTGTTCCACGTTGTTGATGGGCGTAACCTTGTTCTTTTTTCAACAAATATATAACAATGTATTTGAAATAAAAGAAGATTTTTTAACTTTACATGTTTTAGTTTTTTAAAAACATTAAATATAATATCGATTATTTAATATAATATAGAAAGTCAACATGATAGTGGTTAATGTTTAGTGGTGCCTTTTGAACATCACTTGAATGACCACACCTTCTCTTTCACATCATAACTCATGATAACGCATATGTAGAAAGTGAAAGCCAACCACATGACTAGGGGTGTAAATGAGCTGAGTCGAGCTTGAGCCATGCCTAACCCGAGCTCGACTTGTTAGTCAAATCACGAGCTTAAACTTGAGCTCAAACTCGAGTCGAGCTCGAGCTTGGCTCATGGAAATAAAAGTGAGCTCATGAGTAGCTCGTGAGACCATGAAAAAGCCAGCTCACCTGATACTACTAGAATGGAAGAAAGCATGTTATCGTAGAAGAATGTATTGCCATTGCCCATATTTGGTTGGTGAACTCTTAAGTTAGTTATTGTGTGAGAAGAAGATGATTATTTTTTAATTTATTTTTTTAGACTAGTGAAAATTATGTTCTTTTTTTCTTTGACTTTTTTTAAAAAAAGTTATAGCCTCATTAATGCATAACAACTTTTTCCTTGAAAATATAAACTATTTTCAAATGATAGCTGTACTTTTAAGAATAGTCGAATAGCTGATTACTTTTCCTAACGGCTACCACATGAAGATTTTATTGGGGTAAAAATTTTATTTACATATTAGTTTAGGAAAAATTTTAGATTAGTTATATAATTACGAGTTAGCTTGTGAGTTTTCAAGTTGAGCCTCATCATGCTCGAACTTGAGCTCGTTTAATAAACGAGCTTGAGTTTCAGCTCGAGCTCGAGAAGCTCAGCTTGTGAGCTCGAGTTTCAGCTCGAACTCGAGAAGCTCAGCTTGTGAGCTCGTTATCGAATCGAGCTCGAGTCGGCTTACTTACACCCCTACGCATGACAATTGTGCTCCAAGAACTCATGCTCCAGACATATATAACCACAACCATTTAAGAAATTTTCTAATTTATTGTCATATATCCTTATAGCTCTGTCATGTAATTTCAAAAATAAATAGTCCCTATGCTTTGTCCATTCATGCATGAAATATCTACAAATTTGTTCTACCTTGCCTTCAGCTCTAGCAGAGTATTGGAAGACTTAGTCATGCAGTCCTTCAATCGTGCGCTTACAATATCAAACTAATTTTTTGTTGGGATGCCTCCAACCTTTTCTAAAATATGACAATACATCATAGTGAAAACTGAAAAAATTAAGAACTCAAGTATTTTACAAAAGAAAAACTATTACAAGCAACTCCACTAAATGTTTATCTCCCGCTATACATGCATCACTTATATAGAGGAGTTTCAATGGGTTACATGTTAACAATACAAATCTATTTAATTTTCTAGCTAATAAATATTTTTAATTTTGGTTAATTCAATCTCTTTATTTAATAAATAAGCTTAATAAACTTTCCAAATGCGCTTAATTCAATTTCTTTAACTAACAATTACTTAACATATACGTCTTGATGTGATTAGTTCAATGCACACGCTTGTCGAGCAAATGACAGGTTGAGCAATCGGATTACATCAAATTATCATGAATGCACCGAATAATTTAATGTATTTCACGCAATTTAAATGCACCAAACAATTTGACGCATTCGTTCATTCTAAATACGTCAAATTTGACACATTCTTCACATAATTTGATATGCTTACTCCTTTTTTAAATTTTTATTAATTATTGTTTTGCTCCTTAAAACTTTTCAAAACTCAAAATTCCTTTCTTGAAAATTACGTGAAGTTTTTGGTGTTCCAATTCTTTTTGTTCATTATTATTTGTTTTGGTAGGCAGAAGAGCTGAAGCAACGACTAGAGCTTATCAGTGAAACTGAGGGAGTGAGGTCTGTGTACGGGAGCGAGAGAGAGAGAGAGAGGTGAAGCAAGGGCAGCAGAGAGAGAGAGGGGGAGAGGTGAAGCCAGGGAGGAGAGAGGAGAGAGAGACCTCGCGCTTTTCTTTGCTTCTTTATTGGAAGTACTGAGGAATCGCCGAATCTCGAGAAGATGCGGAGCTGGTATAGTGGACTTGGCTCCCTAATTCCCAGAGGTAAGAGACTTTTGCTTTCATTCGTCTTACCAACATCCGTCGTAGTAAGTGAATCTCTCTGCTGTGTTTTTCTTCTTCTCTTTTCTTTTGTCTATGGGATCTTAGAGCAATTTCCAGTGTTTTTGGAGTGGGAAAAGCTTTATTTCTTTCTTTTTTTTTTAAAGTCCATTTATTTCTTCTAGAGTTTTACCTCTACGTAGGTTAGCTCGATGAGAGACACAATTGCTATATTTCATGTGCTTTTGGGGGTAAAAATGAGGACTTGGTGAAGTTTCCCGTCTCTTAGTTTTCCCCTTTCATCTTCAACAGCTTATTTTTCCTAACTTGAGGTGCAAATGTGGTGATCTTTTGTTTTTTTTTTACTTTTTTTTTTCAATCGAAATCTTGTCCTTTTTGCAGATTCGTTGTACGATTTTTTCCATTCATTTTTGAAACAATTGTTAAAGAGTACTTCTCTCTAGTCTTTCTCCTTTATTAATGGAAATTGTGAAGTTAGGTCTATTATGGCAGCTCGGTTGTTCTGATGTAGGAATTTCCCTATCATGTCCAGGTTTTTGTTGAACTTGCTTGATTAGTAAACCATAACTTATGGCTGTCGTCCTCTTTTTTGAACCTTATCGAGGGCTATAATTGACCAAATTTGGACCTTGTTTCTCTCCTTCAATGATTGCTTGTTCACTAAGATCTGTAAGTTTCTTTGATTTTATATGTATACTTTCTCAGTCCTGTTTTCATAGCTTTGTCTACAGTTACTGATGTTTGATCCTCTTTCTTTTCAGAATGTGTATCAGGAAAGAACTGAATCTCCAGTTTTATGAGCTTCCTAAAGGTAGATTATTGAGAAAGCTTTGTCTTATTTTCATGCATTAATGCTTAACTAATCTCATTTTAACCTAGTTTTGTTTGCAGTTAGGTTACAAGTTATTATGAAAATTTTCATTTTATTTCTTTGGTTAAGTAATTTATGTTCTCTTTAGATCAATGAATACCATTTGGGCATCTAAGGCTTCGTTTGAGACGGCTTTTTTACTGCTTCTTAAAGCAGCTTGCTAGTACAAAAATTCTCAAGCTGTTTTAAGAAGCAGTAAAAAAAGTTTTTGTACTAGCAAGCTGCTTTAAGAAGCAGTAAATAAGCCGTCTCAAACGAAGCCTAAGGTTGAGCAGATTACTAACTTTGCTAACTTTTTCAAATGCCATTTTGAGAGGAAGTTATGTCAGGTGGACATGCTCAAGCCAAGGGAAGCTGATATACCTGTTCTTTTTATGGTTTTGGTTGTGTTGCCTGTCATCATCTACATTATTCTTGGCAAGTGGAATGATACTTCAAAGAAGGCGGCGAAGGCAAACATACTTGCTCAGCTAGCAGCAGAAGAGTCTTTTAGAGAAGAAGTTATGGCTTCAGCTGATATTTTACCAGTAGTTCCTTTATGGAAAAATGACACTCATGTGTGTGCCAAATGCTATGCCCCTGCCACATCTCGCTGTTCCAGATGCAAGTCTGTTGGATACTGGTAAGATCAATGCTGTATTTATTAATCTCTGCAGTTTAGTGAGTTTCTTATTCTTGACCTTTTCTTTTCTCCTCAAGTTTCTTAAATTATTTTCTTATCAAGTTATTTCAGGTTTATGCAAAATTGTTTTTACCTTTTTTTTTTCATTTACAAGTTGATCTTGATAAATGTTGAATAGTTTAGTAAGAGAAATATAGACTTTATGAATATAATGATCTCTTCTTCAACAATAAATAGAATAGAAAATGGAAGAAAGAGGATTTGGATTGGTAGTTTTAGTGATTTGACTAGACGTTAATTTAGTTAAAATTATCACAAGGGTCTGAAAAGATTTTGCCATTTTTGCAATCAAAGAGTAAGATATTTTATTTAAAGACCTATGCCAACCTTTTGTTTGGTTTTTATGATAGTTTTATTTGCAGTTGTAAGTGCGTGGTTCTTGTGATATGTCTGGTCAAATATTATATTGATGGTATGTAAAAAGAAGAAGAAGAAAAGGCTCCTTAATTATTGTAAGAGTTACTGACCCCGGGAAACAATGATGCTCATAGGTGCAAATGGAATCAATTTAGTGTACTTATTTTCTGAAATGTTAAGACACGATCCATGATTAATAGCATTTATGATTCCAATGTAGATCCATGATTTATTAGTCTACACCAAAGTGAGAACCAAAAGTATGTTTTGGGCTACATTAGTTTCTATGAAGATTAAAGACACAGAATTGTGAAGGGAAAGGAAAAATATGTGAGAAAGACCTCGGGCAATGAGGAGACTCGAAGCCTTACTCATGAAATCTGGTAAACCTGAAAATTGGAATGGTAAAGGCACCTACTTATGTAGGACAGGAGAACCACAAATGGAAACTTAGGGAACTTTTGGATACTAAGTGAATGAATGGAAGGAAATGAAAATTGATTTTGATTTTTTTTAAAAGGGGTAGGACTAATGTAACATATAGCTAGTGGTTGTGCCAGGAGATTAGCACAAGTTAGAGTTTAACATCTCATGCCGCTCTCAATAAGAATGAATGTAGAAGCATGATTTATAAAGCCCACATAAATGGTTACATAAGGCTGAGGCTGTAGTGAATGTTTTCAAATTAATTATGAAGAGGTGTGAATTGCTGAAATTTCATGTTATTTACTTACCTTTCCTGTTGTCCCATGATAACATAAAATAAACTCCATTTTCTTATATGTTGTTTCTTAGATTTGTTTGGTTGTAAAGAAAATTATGTCGACAAGTATCAATGAAAGATGAGGGGTTTCAAACAAAACAATATAGAAAGATGGTGTGTCCACAAAAGGAGAAAAAAAAAAGTTTAGTCTTCTTCTATCAACTAGGCAGGTGTTAGAGCATTATGGAAGCTGAGCATAAGAAAGTGCTTGGAGGTGGGAAAATGCATTGAAAAAAAAGTTAATGGATTAATTTCAACTTCCCATGGTGGTGGGGCTTTGGTGGACTTTTTGATATGTGTGTTTGTGTTTCTCTATCTAAATTTATTAGAATTTTTGTGGAATCTGATTGCGTCAATCAATCAGGTTGTATTGTTGGCTCGGATCTCAATTCCATTATTCAAACTTGTCGGGTTGCAAGGGGCTCCCCCTAAACCAAGGAGATTTTTTTTTCTGTACAATTGTACAACATCGTGACGCTGTACATTAGAGCGTTTTAGCATTGTACATTAGAGCGTTGCAGCACTGTACATTAGAGCGTTGCAGCACTGTACATTTGTGTGGTACAATGTAGTAAGATGCAACGCAGTAACATTGTAATCTTGACTTGGCGCAGAGAGCGGAGCATTGTGACACTCCAGAGTCAATATTGTTGTGCTGCAACTCAAGCTGGAATAGAGAGTAGACTGTCGCGGTGCTCCAAACCCCAGCACTGGGGCACTATGAGTTGGGCTGGACAATTTTATTTCTTGATTTTCATGCTTAACTTTAAGGGTTGTGTTTTTTTTGTGTAATTTAAGTGTGTTTCTTTGTCTATTATGTTAAGTGAATGAATAATGAAGTGAAGTGAGACAAATGATAGAGTGAGGAGAGAGAATTGTACAATTTCTCCCAAATTTAATTGTGAATTTCTTAGTGTGGTGCGGGTCCGTGATTCTTTCCCAATTTCATGTTTTTCCGTGTTATTCCTGTCGGTCATTTCCATTTTTTTTCTTTTCTTCGTTTGTTTCATTTTGTGTTTTACTTCCAACAAAATTTCTGTCAATCAGAGATGGAAAAGCGAAGTTTCTTTCCATGTTGTTTGTATGCATTTCTCTGATTTAACTTGAATAAGTAAGTCTTGAAATAATCAAAAGCTTATTATGCAAGATGCCACAAGTTCTTATGTCCAAGTTCACCTATCAATTCCTTATTTTAGTTATTTTGAAATTTAGGCCTTGGTTTCCTAATTTTTCTTGTTATAATGCATATATTTAGTTCAGATGTGTACTGAGTATTAGGGACATAATTGTTTTTATTCCAGTTCAATGGTTCATTACCTCTTACCATAAAAGATCTGTTTGGGGGTTCTTATGTGCACCCTTTATAAGCAATGATTAAAAAAAAAAAAAACCTTCGTAAGTATTTATCTTTGATGTTGAAGCATGCCCTGCCCATTTCTATTTTTCAATTTAAGTCTGCTCCAGAATATGTTCCAGCTTCCATGTGCCATCTACTGGAACATTTGGATGGTACAGAACTTGACAATATACAATCGGCTAACTTGGAATTCTAATTGTTCTTTACTTTAGATCATATTTTCTTTTTTTTTAATCAATTATGATTATCATAATTCTGTAAAGTTTGGTGGGTGATGCCTTTTTACATTATTCTTCTTTTTAAACAGCTTGTCAGGTATAACTTAAAAATTTTCAATTTCTTCAGAAGTTCTCTTCATCATGTGTTTGCAGCTCTGGGAAATGCCAAATAGTACACTGGCGGCAGGGACATAAGGAAGAATGTCAGCAATGGCAAAATGGTGTTGTGAATTTTTCCGCTGGTCGTGGTTCTATCACCGATTCTATCCATAGAGGGTCCATCACAGATGTCTCAAGAGATTTTAATGGAAGTTACACAAAGCAGCATCAGCACAGCAGTGTTCATTCTGATGAAGCATCCTATTGGAGAACTGATGCACCTACTGTTACACACCCTGAAAGAAATTTGTCAGATAATGGCTTGAGAATTCGAGGTAGACCAAAAAGAGAAATGTTAAGTGATGAAGCGAGCATTATTGTTGGCACCAATAACACTTGTGCTGATGCTCGATTGGTGGATGGGAGCTCCCCAGACACTTTGCTTCAGGATGCTTTGTTTGAAGTTGAGGTTGGTATCATTTTGTTCCATCTGCGGCATTATCTTAAATCAATAATTAATTTTGATTTTTGATTTTTGCATGTTTAAACCCTCTGATGGTTTCAGTCCGGACCTGGGAATTTTACTGAAACAAATGAGCATCAGAAATATGATAGCACAGGCATTCAGAATAATGGATCCACTGTCAGAAATTCTGCTTCTCAGTCCCAAAGATTAAAGGATGAAAACAAGAGCATACCAAATGTAGCTGAACTCAGGAAATCAACAGGAGAAGCAACTAGCTCATTCAAACAAAGATACCCCACTGGTTCTCATGAGAATGCAACAAACGGAGGTGAAGCAGGGAAGAATTTTATTTCATATGAAGATAGATTTTCATCATCTTTTGTAACTTCAGGCTTGAGGCCCTCAGCTGAAGAAAACTTAGTTAAACGAAACTTGATTTATAAAAAACCCCCATACATTCTGGATCCTGACAAGTCAGTAGCAAGAGCGCCAAGACAATGCCAATCTCAAGTAACAAATGGAGGTTATATAAAGCTTTTTTGCAATTTTCATAATGTACTTCATGCGTTGTGTTCTTAGGCTGTTTTTACTGTTATATAGGAATCCCACCATCTGTTCCCACAAGCAGCCCTGAACAATGTTTCAAAGGAATAACAAACGGGAAAGAAATGACTCTCAAAACATCAAGAACTTCTTCAAGAAATCCTAAGAGTCGTCTTGTTGGGTTGATCAATGGTTATAAAAGAAATAAGGTTTATTTTTTAATAAAGTTATTTCATCAAATTTTGTAGGCTTCTTAATTCCTCACCAATTCATTTTGTGTCACATTATTTAGCTGCTTTTTCCATATGAAGAAATTGTGAAGCTTTTCCAGTGTGATGTGTCAGGCATATCACCAAGGGGCCTTCTTAATTGTGGAAACAGGTACATCTGGTGTTGTGTTTTACACTTTTACTTTTGTAACTTTTAAGTTTTTAACCTTTTTTTTTACATGATTTTACTTCGGAGAGAGCCTAACTAATATGAAATTGATTTTGGAACCTTTTTCATGCATTGTTGGATATTGGTTTGAGGATTTGTTTATGAGCCCATAGATCTCAAATAATTGATCAATTCTTAAGGATTGTGTGCCAGTGAAAATCTAAGATGATTTAGCTTTCATCAATATTGTATGAAAGGACTTTTAACTCAAATTCTTATGTAAAGCATGTTTTATAGCCAAGGATACAGTGCGTGGGAATTTGTACTATTCCTTCACTTTTGGCTTTTTGTATTCTACTTTCCCATGGAAAATAATTGCAAGATGAATTTTTGATCAAATCTCCTATTTCGATTATCTGGCTTGTGTTACTAATGCAGAAATGCAGTAGGAGCTCCTGACACAATTTATTTTCTCTTTCTTACATTCCAAACTCTCTCTGTAGAAGAGAAGATGTATGCAATGAGTGGGACAAATCTTTTGGCATAGCCAATAAATGTAACTTTCTAATTAGAAGAAAGAGTGACTCATAAAAATTAAAATTCATCCTTTTTAAGGTTTAAGCCTCTTTGTCCTTAACTATTCTTGACCCAATAGTGAAATTTTTACTTGCAATTTGAGCCTTGAGGATTCCATTTAAGTATAACTTTCCATTTCACAAATGTCAAGCATTCTGAAGGAATCTTTAGACCTATTTTAGATTATTAACATTCAAATAATTTAGTTGCCTTGAATATTTTCCAAGAACATAGGATCTAAATGCTTTAGTTTATGAGTTTGGTGTCAATCGGGAGATTAAGATTTTGTTTGGGCCGGCTTTCTTTCTGCTTCGGTGAAGCAGCTTTTTAGTACAAAAATTTTAACTTTTTACTAAAAAGCTGCTTTAAGAAGCATTAAAAAAGTCGTCTCAAACGAAGCCTAAGTTTCAATTCTTGCCAAATTTTTGCTGCAAATATTTCCTTTAATGATCTTCATTCACTTGACAACCCTTTTCTTGCAGTTGCTATGCCAACGCTGTCTTGCAGTGTCTGACCTTCACAAAGCCTATAATGGTCTACTTACTTCATAGATCACACTCAAGAACCTGTAATTTCAGAGTGCTCCAATTAATTTCCTACTGATCATATATGGATATTATGGATAGTTACAGCCTGAGATGTTTTGGATTTTTTAGGTCGGATAACAGATTGGTGCCTGATGTGCGAACTTGAGCAACACATTGCAGAGCTATTGGAAGGTGGTGGCCCTCTATCTCCAAGTAAAATTCTTTCAAACATGAGCGATGGTTGTCGAATTGGTGGCGGAAAACAGGAAGATGCTCATGAGTTTCTAAGGTTCGGTGAAAAAAAAAGGGGGATTTACATACATACCACTTTATTTCACGCTATTTACATATCTAACATGCAAAACATTAATATTACATGCTTACCACTCATAAAACAAATTTTGGTGCATGAAATGAAATATTAAAGTTTATAGGATGGTATAAATGTTATGAATGAATTATAGGAGTGATATATTTGATATTAAAGTTTTATATGGGCAGTAGGCATGTAATATTAATGTTTTGGATGTTAGATATGTAAATAGCATGAAATAAAGTGGTATGTATGTAAATTTCCAAAAAAAGAAAAATATCTTTAATAAATAATGATACTTTTTCCAAACAAACTTTTGCTTCTTTACATTCGAAGCTCAAGTTGCTTAAAAAGTCGTCGTTAATATGCACCAGACTTTTAGTTATGTCCATGCAAGCTGTTTGCCTTCGGGATCTGGGTGGTGAGAAGAAGGTTGATCCTGGACTGCAAGAAACTACTCTTGTACAACAGATTTTTGGTGGTCGCCTTAAATCTAAGGCAATGTTTCTATCATTGGACCTCTATTATTTTCATTAATGGGGATTATCTTTTTCATTTTTTTCTCTTTTCCTTTTAAAGAGATTACTTATCTTGTTTATGCTCTTGAATTAGGTTAAGTGCTTGAGATGTCATCATGAGTCTGAACGATATGAAAATATTATGGATCTTACGCTGGAGATCTATGGGTGGGTTGAATCTTTAGAAGATGCCCTAACGCAGTTTACGGCCCCGGAGGATTTGGATGGAGAAAATATGTATAGATGTGGAAGGTTTGGCATAGTACTTCCTTTTTTGTTTTGAATGTTTAGGTGCTTTTTTTAATACTGTCTGCAAACCATCGTAGGTGCTCCACATATGTTAGAGCAAGGAAACAGTTGAGTTTGCACGAGGTACCAAATATCTTAACAATAGTTCTGAAGAGATTCCAGGTAACAATTGGACATTGTTCTTGGCTTTGATTGTCTGCCTTAGTAATTATACTCTCTGACTATATTGACATAGTTTTTTCCTTGTATATAATAATATGCCAGAGAAGAAGAAATATGGATAATTTTAATATTCTAAAATATTAAAATTCATGGAAGATATTGTTAAGGTTAACTTCTATCAAGAATTTGGATTTCTTACAATTTAGGCTTCATTTGGAACGGCTTTCTTACTGCTTCTTAAAGCAGCTTTTTTATACAAAAATTTTAATTTTTGTATAAAAAAGCTGCTTTAAGAAGCAGTAAGAAAGCCGTCCCAAATGAAGCCTTAGTCATGATATAAAGCTTCAAACCGAACTTTAATTCATGAGAACAAATAAAAATTCTAAACCTGCACTCATAATTGGCAAAGCTTTAGAATATTGGCTAATTCTAGTATTCTAGAATATTTTTAAGATTTTATTTCAATTTTAGATTCATTTGATTTTTTTAGTATTATATTTTTTTTCAAATTTGATTATAAGGAATTTTATTCGTTATCTATATTCAAATTCCAACTTGTAATCTACTATAAATATGAGTTTTAAGGACTGTATTATTCTCTGAGTGAAGGAATTTTGAAAAGATTCCTTCTGTCCTCTTCCTTCTTCTCTCTCTCATTATTCTCTCTAAATGGTCTTTTCTTATCGTCTGTCTTTTAGTACATTTTCTCACAATATTCTCCTCCATATGCTCTTTCCTTCTATACACTTATGAAATTGACAACCAGCCTGGAAGGCTCTTATCTCAAGAAAATAATTGAAGGAATTCTTTCTTACTTTGGAGATCAAGAAGGAAGAAATAACAAGGTGATCCTCTGCAAGCAAAACCAAAAAAAGTAATAAAAAATCACAAAAGCATTATAGAAAATTGCAAGAACAAGATGAATAGGCAACTTTGAGTTTGCCTAATTGAGGCTAATTGACAGCATATGGTGCTTGAAGGGTTTTTCAAAATTGAATTTTTAGGCTATAGTCACAACCTCGGAGGAGTGCCTATTGATTCTTGGTTGTGATGGGTGAGTTAAAACTGCGCTTGTTTTAATGTGATGAGCCAATGCCAATTTAGAAATAAAGTTCTGCTGACCTTTTTAGAGGTCAACAAAATATATTCTCTGTAAAATAGGAGTTGGTTCATGTAAAATATCAAGGTTTCTTTTTTAAGGACCCCAATAAGGAGGCAACAAACTTCTTAACTTTATTCTTGGAAATTTGACCACTTGTTTTTTGTTCTGATAACATTGATACACTTGTGCTGCCAAGATCTATGACATGATATATTCAAAACGCTGAGAAGATATATCATCGGTGTCGGGCATTGTTAATCGCTTGTGTTGATGTAAATTTGAGCAAGTCAGTCCTGGTTATTTTAGGGGCAACATTTTATGATTATGATTGGATTATGGGAGGGTGTGATCTACACCTTTTGGTGTTGATAAGTATGAGAAAAATGCTAGATAAGAACCATATTTACCTTAATGAAACTATAAATATTCTATTACTCAGTTCATTCTAGGACATTTTCTATTTCAGAAGGTGACCCAAATCCTTCCATAAATCCTATAACCAGTCGCTGCCTACACAACCTATGTAAAGTCATTGCCCACATGACATGTCACCACAAGAATCCTTTGGAAAGATCAGCGTTATAAATGTTACCTATCTTGTAATATTGGCGTCACAATGCTCGCCAGTTACACCACAACGTTCTCCCGTAAGACTTAAATATTAATTACATCTTATTAGTGCACAAACATATATAATATTGTATTATCTTAATTAATATGGAGGTGGCACTTAACTATTGGCTCATATGTAATAAGGCCATCCTCACGCTCTATATATAAATGTATCTTATACGAATACAAGGAGAGATTTCTCTTTTTGTTTCCTGTTTTCTTCCCTCGTTCTCTTTCTCTTCTTGTTCTTGCTGTTTGAGTTCTTCATGGTATCAGAGCCAGCTCAGTATTAATTAAGATAATACAATATTATATATGTTTGTGTACTAATACATCTTGTTACACCACAACTCTCACCAGCCATCTCACCAACTATCGACTTGCATAATGGCTACCTCTAGATATATATCTTCACTGCCAACAAACTTTAACCACAATTATCACCGAGTACATTCTAACTATGATCCTCCATCATTCATTGCTGAAACTTCCGGTTGAATTGTTCCCCCATGGACAACAGCAACTTCCATTCTATGTAATAGTTGTTGAATTTTTATTACTTGGGTCATTATCTTGCATTGTTTTGATGCCTTCTCCAATTATGTGGTAAGGGATGCGCCTTATAATTTTTTCATACTTGTAGAAGATGTGGACTGGTTCCATGATTTTTTTTCTTATTTTTTCCAGATAAAAATCTAGTTTCTCTATTCTTTGATTGAGTGCTTGTGTGTGTGATTGAAAATTTGAGGCAATTAAGATCGATCCTTACTCTCCCTGCTTGATTTCCCGGACACAACAAGCTTAAACTCCTTCATTTTCTTGTTGATGTTGGGTTTGTGATTTGCTGTAAAATGACACGCATATAATATAAAAAAAATTAAATCGAGTTGGTGAAAATTTACCTAAGAAATATCATGTAAAGCTCAACTTCAACGCAGGATTTGGAGTTATGAAGAAGTGATTTAAAAAATCATTTGATGTCTATTCAAAAATTTGATTTTACCGTCAACAGTAAATGAAGAACAGTCATTTTGCTTCATTTCATTCTGAAGTGCATCTCTTTGTCGAAGTTCAAGAAAGTGTGCACACCAAAATGTTTCCTTTTTTTTTTTGCATTTAGCATTCATAATTTCAGTTCATCAAAATTATTTGTCCGCTTCAAAATTGAATTGGAGCATTTGATAAATATTCCTAATCATTAATCTTCTCTTTTTTTTTTTAGTTTTTATGTGTGCATAGAACAGCAATATAACTACAGTAACAACATTTGTGTTAGTGTGCATGGAAACAAGTCAATCTCATCAAGAAAAAAAAAAATTTCAAATATGGCAGTATACGATGGTATGAAGAAAAACATGAAACAATTACAATTGCATTCCAATGATATTTTCCACAATTACTTGCAATTTATCCATTCAACGCCATAGAAGTTTGTAAATCTGTAACCTTTTGTTTTTTTAAGTGTTCTGGTCCACAACAGTGACTCATCTTTTAGCTCAAACTGATGACCGTTGCTTTATTAGACAGGGAAATATGGGAAAATCAATAAATGTGTCACCTTTCCAGACTTACTGGACATGATTCCATTTGTCACTGGGTCTGCTGATAGCCCTCCTCTCTACATTCTATATGCTGTTGTCGTTCATTTGGACACTTTAAATACATCCTTCTCTGGTCATTATGTGTCCTATGTCAAAGACATTCAAGGAACTTGGTTTCGAATTGATGACTCCGAGGTATGTAATAATCATCAAATTTTATATTTACTACCATATACTCTCTCTCTCTCTCTCTCTCTCTCTCTCTTGTGCGTGTGAAGACATGTCATCTTACTTGAGTTCATACTGTTACAGGTGCAGGTTGTGCCATTGAGTCAGGTTATGTCTGAAGGTGCATACATGTTATTTTACTCAAGGTAAAATCATCAAATACTCTATGTTAGGATAAAACCATTGATTAACGCATCGTTTGGGACGGTTTTTTTTTTTTTTTTCTGCTTTTTAAAGCAGCTTCCTAAAATTTTTATAATAGGAAGCTGCTTTAAGAAGCAATAAAAAAACGGTCTCAAACGAAGCCTAAATTATTACAAAAGCAGAAGGAAAAAGTTAAAAATAATTGACCATTGTTATTTAGGTCGTTCCCACGCCCTCCAAGTGTTTGTATCAATCGAGCACTACTACAAGCTCCCTCTCTAATGCATAATTCACTGAAGTCTCTGAAATCTTCAAGACATGGGCAGCCTGAGGAAACTGAAACTTGCCCTCTACTGTCTAATGCTGAAAAGAACTCAAGGCCTGAAAAAGCCAGGAGCTTCTTTTCCAGCAATGAAATTCACACAGATACAGTCATCAGCACAGACTTCTCTGATCCTACATCAAGTGATTGGTCTCTCTTTACAAGCTCAGATGAGTCATCTTTTACCACTGAGAGCACCAGAAATTCATTCAGTACTGTTGATCATGAAGACTCTGGGGTACTTGACCCCATTTCTTCTATATTTGGCTCCTTTTATCGCTCAGATTGTTCGCAGGGTAGCACTATTTCGTGTACAAATTCATCGCTCAGAGTTTGATGGATACTTAGACTTCGTTTGGGACGGATTTTTTGTTGCTTCTTAAAACAGAGTTTTAGTACAAAAATTTTAATTTTTGTGCTAAAACTTCGTTTTAAGAAGCAATGAAAAAGCCGTCCCAAACGAAGCCTTATATTGGATTTGTCGATGCGAATCTGACAACTCGGCGGTGTACATAAGTCAAGGAATATATTCATTTTTGTTTATTAGAACAGAAGGGGAGTAATCCCAGTAAGTATCAGGATTTGTAGTTATTAGTTTTTTCTAGCAACCTCTGGTTGATCCAAATTCTGTAAGTGGTTGTGCCTCAGCTTTTTTTTAGTTTGAATGAGGCATTTGATCAGATAAGTAGCAGACTTCATATTTGTAGTAATTAGACATCTAGTAGAAATTTTTAACCTGATATGGCTTGGCTACTGAGTAAAGAGAACCATGAACTTTGATGGTTTACTGGAGCAATTTGATTACCAAATAGTTAATAGTATGTTGAAGTATATAAACTTCATTGAGATGAACAAAGTTATGATATGCCATGTGCTTTTATTAGCAATGATTGTCTAAAAAAACTTATCAAAGCTAATGTTTAGGCTAAGGTTTTGTTTGGGACAGTTTTTTACTGCTTCTTAAAACAGCTTTGTAGTATAAAAATTAAAAAAATTATATTGAAAAGTTGCTTTAAGAAGCAATAAAAAAGCCGTCCCAAATGAAGCTTATGTTTATTATTTTTGTTTGTGCATTGCAGATGCTATTAATTTTGTTGCATTTGTTGAGATATTTCTTTAATTTCATACACCTAAAGTCATATAAAATATTTTTTTTCCCCTAATATGGAGAAATTTAGCTCCAAAGTTCTACATGGGTCCTGGTTGGGTATCCACGCCTACCCATGGTGACTTACGGGTTGCCGTATCAATCCATACTCACTTTTCACGTTTTTGGAATGCAGTTTGTCACGGACTGATGGTCTTGAGGCTTGTTGTTCTTTACTCTGACTGTAAACTTTCAAGCTACATATCATAATTTATTGTGGTCGCAGTGTGGTTTCGTGCCGTGCACTGCATAGTGAGGATTATGGTAATATATTGAATATGGTGATTAGCAATGTAAATATGTTTACCCCCTGATGTTGAGTACCCATTCATACTCACCCATGGGTACGTGGATGGGTGTGGGTATGAGTATCTAATGCAGGGCTTTGTTTAGCTCTACATGGACCATAGGAACTTGCAAGTCCTAAGTGTTGATATAGGCTTATAGTATAAATATGTATGCTTAATTCATTTTTCCTTCATAATTTATATGTAAAGTATTTTAAAATTGGAAGATATTTATTAAGATTATAACTCTGAATACAACATTAAAAGTCTAAAACAACATAAAAATATTTATAAATAAAATATTGAAAATTTAAATATTATTATGAAATATAAAGATTTATGACACTCTCATTAAAATTGTAAATCATTTAAAAATATTTTACAAACATATTGAAAATTATTGGGACTAAATCCATTTTCATAAACAACTTGTGTATTTTCAATTTTCTAAGTATGAACTTAGGCTTCGTTTGGGACGACTTTATTACTGCTTCTTAAAGCAACTTTTTAGTGCCAAAATTAAAACTTTTATATTCAAAAGCTGCTTTAAGAAACAATAAGAAATCCTCGCAACACCATCAAATCTATATGAACATAAGATCAAACACAAGTATTGCTCTATATTTCTTTATTCAACTATTATTACAAACTTATTTTAAACTATGATAAAAAATTATTTCGAACTTTTTTTTTTTTGACAATTATTAATTCTTGGCTCCAAAATACAAATATGCTTCGAATAACCTTCAAAGCATGCTTGATTATGTACCAAACATGTATCGATCAAGGCCGAATAAAATTTTAAGCAATATTCAAAGTTGTTAATCTTATATATAATATTGTTGCGGACTAATAAATTTGTTGCGATGGAGTGAGAGTTTTTTTCGTCTTAGCGATGCATGAATATCTTGCACACAAATATGTAGTTGAGAGAGCAAGAAAACACTAGAAATTGTTTATGTGGGAAACCAAAAAAGAAAAATCATGGGGATTTATCTAGGTGAGAAGATTTCGCTATATTTGAGTGAGTTATAAATGTTGACTAGTTGCTTAACTTGGAAACCATGAAATTATAATAGTATGGAGAGTCTGTCGAATTTCATATAGGTACTCAGGAGTTTGTAATGACCATGGTAGGATAACGAAGATCGAAAGTATGACGGCAACAACAGAGCAGAGGTCCAACGGCTGTCTGGCGGTCGGGCAGAGGTCCATCGATGGTATGGTGGTCGGGCGGAGGTCCGACGGCGATCAACCCTAGGAAGAGGTTTGATGGTGGTCAACAACCAGGCGAAGGTCTGGCAGTGGTCGGTGATTTGGGGAGGTCTAGCGGTGATGGGCTACTAGGAGGAGGTCCATCAGTTGTTGCATGACAGAAGTTTGCTCATGAAAGTGCTTGGGTGTAACTCTAGGATCTTTGAAGCCTCAAAACTTTCTCCAATCTCTACCCAAAGGTTCATGTCTTGTAGGAAGTCGAGCCTATTTATAGATTTTTTAGAGTTGCAGACTTCATACATATTAAAAAAATTAGGAGCATTCCATTGGACAATCCATATGGATCCCCACTCACAAATCTTTCATTCAGTGTTTGTGTGCCTTAATGATATCAGAATTCTATAAACTTGGGCTTGTTAGATTCATCTATTCGATCCGCTCGATTTGACTATAACCATGCACCATTTAGATATCTTTTGATCATCCAATTAATATTCATAAGTTTTCAAATGTTCTTCAAGCCACTAATTAGGACCCGATTGAGCTCTAATTGTTCTGATTTTATTGTCGTTGGGCCCATCTCGTCCAAATGTTCAATTTCACTGTGCGTTTGTTGAAATTGAAGTTGAGGAGTTCAGATGGTTCATAAATTTAATATTAAAAGTTTTCAATTCATATATATGTGCAAAGATTTGCGCTCATTCAAGATGATTTTTGGGGATTTATCAAATATCTTTTTAGGCTTAAGGTTTATTGTCTAACATATTTGTCGCCTAGCTAGAGATAAAAAACAAAGACAAAGATTAAAAAAAAAATATTACATTTGAACTTTATATCAAAATCATCACTAGGGAATCATAATCACCATAGAAGAAGATGACAATGAGAATATAATTGGTTGATTAATTTTTTGCAAGAAATGTTATTTATAGAAATTAGAACATTACTTTGAATTCAAGAGTATTTTAGTTCGAAAAAAATATTTAAATATATTTATTTAAGAAATAAATAACATATATATATTCTCCAATTTTAAATTTTCTAAAAGAAAATAAATTCAAAATTCTCTTATTTAAAAGGCTTATTGGTTGGAAGAAAAAGTGAATATGAAGTAAAATAAATGCATTATTGTTTGACTTTTTGATGTTTAGTTGAATGAAAAGTCAACCCAAGTTAGGTAAGTATAGTGTATTACATTTTAATTCATTTTTGAGGTAAAATGTTATATCCCAAATTGAGCAAGAACACTTTACACCACTCAAGTGCTTCGTTGGTCGCCCATAGCAACCACCGTCCTTATTGCTGCACTGCCTGCCACCTGCTACCGTCGTCACAGGATATCGCCATCGACGCCCGCTGACCGGCTGCCTACTGCCGCAGTTGTTGTCTGTCGCCACTTCCCGTTGTCTCACCACTGGTAGCCACCATTAGGGCTGAAAATGAATCAAGCCGGGCATGTATTTGTTCATGTTTGTGTTTGTTTATTATCAGCTTGCTCATATTTATTCGAGCTCTATTCCAGCTTTCATGTTCAAGTTCAAGCTTGGTTCATTTTAGTTTATGGTTGTTCATGTTCGGTTTGTGTTTGGTTCATGTTCAATTTACTTCGTGCTTATCGAGCTTTAAATAAACGAGCCTCATCAAGCTATAAACGAGCTATACTTCTAAATGTTCATCAGCTTAACGAATGAGCTTTATCGAACCTACTAACAAATATATTCTTGAATATTTCTAGCGATTGTTTCGAATTACCAAATGCACATGTCACGAATATATATGGCGAATATTTTTAGCTACCAACCGTGCCTATTTGCGAGCATATCTAGTAAGGGTTTTCGAACTATCAAATAAGCATGTACACGAACACATCTAGTAAGTATTTTTGAACTATCAAATGAGCTCGTTCACAAACAAACGATGCATAATTTTCTTATAAGAAAACTTGTTCTATAACATCTCATCATTATTTTTTTAAATTATAATAAACATAATATATTTTTATTAGATTTATTAAATTTTCGTATCAAATAAGAATCAAGCTCCTAATGAGCTTCTTATCGAACTTCATATCGAGCATGTTCACGAGCTTCGGACGATGTTGTTTATGATTAAAAACAAGTCAAGCACATAATTTTTCAAGCTTGTTTATTAAATCATCAATTATTTAAGAAACTATTTAAATGATAACGAGCGAGCTTTTATTTCAAGCCCAAAAAAATCGTGGACAGCTGCCGGCCGATGACCGGCAGCGACGGACATCGACCAGAGCTGCTAAGAAACCGTCAATGAACGAGCAATGGAAAACGCTTCCATCCTTCTCTTTAGAAAACAATACGATCTTTTCTCATAGTTGACTATAATGGAAAACGCTCTCGCATGATAGAAGCGGGCCATTTCTTCTTCGCCACCCTCCGCTTTCCGCATCTCAAAAGAGGCGCAGGAGACGAAGATCTGAAAACCCTAGCTTTCCTCACCGGCCATGTCATCGAGGACTCTTCCTTACTCGAGCAAGGATGTTGATTACGACAACGCAAAGTTCCGATACCGATCGCCCTTCAAGGTTCTTGTTTCTCCTTATACTTGTAGATCCCGATTGTTTTGCTGATTGTTGCGTGATCGAGTGGAAATATGATTAGATTTGATGGGTATGGTTTTCAAAGCTTTGTTTTTATTTGGCGGTTGTATGGTCTTTTACCGCAAGCAGACGGGTTTAGGCGAATTTTAATTGTTTTTGCACGAATGTTGCTGGGTTATGAAGTCGTGTTTGGAAGGAAAATTCAGCTTTTGTGGATCTTGGCTGCATTTCGACTTTAAATGGTATCTTATGCTAGAGAGGGCCCGTGTCGTGCAAGAAGCATAGGATGATGTTTCCCGAGGATCAAGTTTTCACTCTGATTGGGATTCAGGTCGAAAAGTATTGAAAGAATTCTTGCTGTTAGATATCTGAACGTCATTTTGTGTCATTGGATAGACGTTTCTGGTAGTCTGGAAGCTGGGTTTGCGTTCGTCATATTTCTTGATCTAGATTGTGTTCCCTGTTCTCAATCCTTGTAATTTAGTCTTTTTTTGTGAATCTTAGCTGAAAATTCTTCTGTGAGTACTGAAGAGGTTGAGAATCTTAAAGGGGAATCTCATCATAGAGGGCAGTTATCTTCCATGATTTTTCATTTCATTTTGTTTATCAAGTTCCCTTTTATCATGGCCATGGTTTGGAAGGTAGTACGCCCTGGCAATACGAGATGTGATGAAGGAATAAGAAAACTTATTTTGTACTAAGAAAACTTATTTTGTACACACAAGAAGAAAAAATGCATATTCAAGTAATATAAACAAAATATATATTAGAAAAAATAACTGAAATAACTAAACTCTTATTTCATTATCATAAATTCAAATGAGCACACACCATTCAAAATAGAAACTAACTTCAAGCAAAAGAGTTTTGAAAGGCACAATTGCAAAAAGATAAATAGCAAATCGTCAAAAGGAAAAATATACAAATGACCTACTATAGATTATAAAAATACCAAATATATGTTATGACTGGTAGATATGCTCCTGCGATGATGTTCATCCTAATACTCCCACAAAACTTGCTATGAAAAAAATAAAATAAAATAATGAGTGAGTTTGATAGCTTAAACCTATCAAGCAACTCCTATCTATTAAAACATAAAGAACAAATGAATGAAGCATGTTGTATGACCAATTAAGCGGGTAGGAATGGCAAGTGACAATTAACGTATCAGTGCAACAATATCAATTAAGGTAATATTGGCTCTATATATGCTAATATCATCATGAACAATAAATAATATATACTGTAGGTATGCAATAATAAATAAGAATTTAACACAAGTACGGTAACCTAAAATAACTAGGAACTTCATACAAGTAACACTTCTAATAAAGAAGAGTACATTTATCCATTAATAAACAATAATTGGCACAAATTTCAAATTCAATTGTAGTTTGCATGCTTCCACCAAGCGAAGGTCCTACAAGAATCAAAATCAAACAATTATAAGCACACATTTTGAGACAATCATATTAATTGATCTAAGCTATACTCCCTAAGCTAAACTTAACTATCACAATGATGCGATCAACCTTATTGCTCCCTAATCACATTAAGTGGACTATAAATTGAGAGATCACTCACAAAAATTTCACTTAATAAAGTATTTAGGATACGTTGCGAAACTACGGGGCACACACACATACATACATGATTTATTTTAACCTAATCTTAATTTCAAAATAGAGACCCTATTCTCAAGCAAGCTATAACCCACAAAAATAGTATTTTAGGACAATAAATAAAATCATCCTTAACCTAATTTAGTTTTGCATTAGATAAGAGATAACCATTAAGGAGGAGAAAGGGAGGAGAAAAGAGGGAAGAGGAAGTGAACAGAACTCACTATAGAAGGAGAGGGCTACAACATTTCATAGTGCTTTTAACCTTTGTTTTTAAGGGCCTGTTTGAGACGGTTGCAATATTTTATAAAATTAGTTGTGAAGTTGCAGTGGGAAAGTAAATTAACTACTCTTGTTGCAAAAAGCACCTTTCCGCTATACAAAGTTTTGAAAAATAGTAAGAAAACTATAGCAAAAAATTGTTCGATGGTTGAAAAGCAATCAACTAGAAAGTTGTCCCAAATAGACATTTAATGTAACCTTGGCCAAATTTCCTTGGCAAGGACTACTAATGTCTGACAAATATGGATTATGTGCTTTGCATAAGATTTTATTTGAATTATTATTTAATTTCTTTTATTAGTTCATTTTTAGTCCTTATTTTAATTATCATGATCAATATGGTCATTTGTTGGTTTATTAGTGTTTTCCTATAGGATCTTCTATTGTAAATAAAAGGCCAATAATCATGTAATAGCCATACTATGATTATTGGAATGAAAATGGTACTTAGCTTTATTCTCACCCCTTTGGTGTTGTCCACCTAATTCATTCTCCTTACATCTTCTACCCTCTTTTTTGTTCATTCTCTTTCTTTGACCAATTTAAGGTTTTCGACAAATTTTTTATTACCCCTCTCAAAATCAATTGTATATCAAAACCCAACATTATCTCGATAATCATCTTTGATAATTTAGCAAGATGACGGTAAGTGCTCGATAAAGATTTGTTCAAGGCATCCATGAAATTTTTGATGATACGTGCTTGCAGTTTGTTGTTCTTAAGGTGTTGACTATCATAATGGTGGCACCCTCTTCTAAGGCCCTTTAATGATTTCCACTGCTCCATTTACTATAATTGGCATCAGAGCCCAACTTTATTGTGATAATCATCATCAACAGTCTAATAAGTTTATCGTCGTTGTGATGAATATTAGTTTTAAGGTATAATACCTTGTTTATCGTGATTCATTAAGGTGTTCGCATAACATGATGAAATTCAAATTATAGTATTGCTAGTTTGTCACCACGAGCCAACTAAATTTGAAATCATCCTTATAGGTGGTCCTTAATGGGAGGTTATTCCTACTATAACCTTGTAATGCTTTAGAACTTAAGTTCATCAATTCTCCTTTATAGCTACTCTCCTCAAAGGCTCAAACTATTAGTGATGTGTCTGCAAATTGAGTGCATATGACATAATTGGCCGAGCCATCGGCTCTCAGCAAAAGTTTAATGATTTGTCCTCACTGTAATGCTTTATATTCCATGTTTAAAGCCCCTTTCGTGGGAATCTGTGATATGGAGGTACTCTCTTATATATATAGTAAAAGATTCATTATAAAAGCTTTTCATCTCCACAAAAAAAAAAAAAAAAAGGGGGGGGGAAAAAAAAAAAAAAAAGTGTGGGGAATAAATGATTTTTTTGTTTAAACAATGATCTTTGGTTTAAATGTGATAAAAAATGTTCAATCTTCACATAGAAAATTTTTGTGTGCAAGGGACTTTCATCATTTGCTTCTATATCCTTAAAATTTTCATATTGCTAGGTCTCTTGGTGGAGACTTGAAGAGTTTCCCATGTCCATAAGTAAGAGAAGAGTCCTCTTACACTTGAAACTACGAAGTTGTGTAAATATTTTCTCCACTAGCTTGCTAATGAACGACTGATTTAAGTAGTGTAATTCTAAGCATATGAGATACTTAGACGTTGATGAAGGCAAGTTAGGGCCGAACAGAGTAAAAATCTTGTCGTTCTTATTATTTACTTGATTTCACACTCTACATTAGTTGCTCAAGTACTATTTATTTTATTTCACACATTATCTTGAGATGACATTGTGTAAATTCCAATTTTTTAAGGCCCAATTTATTTCTGCTCTCTTGGGTTGTGTGTTGGTCATCAATTGATATTATCATTATGTTTTAAATAATCTCTTTGTTGCTTTTTTCTGTAAATTTCCTTCTAGGTTGCGACACAAGCTTTCAGTACTAATAGCATCAGACATGACTGTGGAAGATGTGGTGTGGGGAAGTTTTTAATGCTATTGATGATTGGCGGTTTAACTTATTTAATGGTTATTCACAAAAGCCCTGGTCAGTTGGCTTCCCGTGAACTTATTCAGGATACCACCGTAGGGGATGTACATCATGTAAAGGAAAGAATTGGTAAAATTGGAAGATTTTTGCGGAAGCCCCCAAGACTTCCACCACAGCTTTCACCTGATGACATTAGAAACTCAAGTTTGAATCTCAATCATAATAAGCAATATGATAAGTCTGAATCAAAGTTCAGGCAAAATAAGGTTAAAGAAGCATTTGTACATGCGTGGTCTGGCTATAGACAATATGCCTTTGGCTATGACGAGCTGATGCCCTTGAGTCAAAAAGGTGTTGATGGCCTTGGGGGCCTTGGTGCTACTATTATTGATTCCCTTGACACAGCTATGATAATGGGACTTGATGAAATTGTTTCAGAAGCAGGTACTTGGATAGAAAAGCACCTTATGGAAAGAATTAACACGAAGGGGCATGTAAATTTGTTTGAGACTACAATACGTATCTTAGGTGGTCTTCTTAGTGCTTATCATTTGGGTGGAGGTGAGCATGGTACTTTAAGTGATAGTGGGATCTCTGTCAAACTGAAAGGAGTGAAGTCTGAGGTTTTCTTAGACGCAGCAAAGAATTTGGCTGACCATCTATTGCTAGCTTTTACTTCAAGTCCAACATCAATTCCTTTTAGTGACGTTGTATTGAATGAAAGATCTGCTCATGCTGCTCCTGATGGCTTAAGCAGTACTTCAGAAGTTTCAACGGTGCAACTCGAATTTAACTATCTCAGTAAACTTTCTGGTGATCCTAGGTATGGTTTGGTGGCAATGAAAGTGTTGGAGCACTTCAAAACACTTCCTAAAGTTGAAGGGCTTGTACCCATCTACATTAGGTAAATAGTCATTTTCTATCGTGAATTTTGTATAGCATAGTGTTTTTTTCTCTACAAATATTATCGGATTTTGAGTTATTTTCTGAATTCTACATTTACAAATATTCTGAGTTATTTTCTACTTCAAAATATTATGAGTTTTAGTTTCCTGCCGGAGTGTTCAAAGTGATAACGTTTTATATTGATCAGCCTAACGTTGTCCTTCATAACTACTCTCAAGGCTTGTATTTTTGTTTCAGTACATGGAAGGACGCTCCTCACTTAATCCTTTTACTTTGAATCGTGATCCAAAGAGCAGTTTTTTGGTACAGATAGTTATGGTGGATAATTTCCATCACTTGATTCTTCTTTATGAATGCTACGTTAAATTTTTTAGATAGTTCTTGGAAATTTGTTCCAGCACCTGTGGAATGAAACATGATAGCTGATATTAATAGAAATCACTCAATTACTTATATTATTCACCTTAGCATTGTTGTCTTTTAGCTTTCCATCCACCACTATCCTTGCATTATTCTATTCTTAAGTTTTATAACATCAATTGCTTATAAGCTTGCTAATCTCTTTGGATTTTTCCCTTACCATTTAGTTTCTCTCAAACATGAATATTTACTTAATAGTCATTGTGCTCATTGATTATCTGGTTTTGCCATTAATGTTCTAAAATTTCATGTAGCAAATGTTATGTTAATTGATTAACTACTCAACTGTTGCTCACTTTTCATGGAAATTGGGATATATTTTGACGTGCCAGTTGTGAGTGATATCCTTGCCAACTTTAGTATGCTTCTTACAACAATTAATTTAGTTATAGCATATCACTTAAGGTTAATGTTTAACAAATACTTGGCCATTTCTCACTACCATTGGATTAAATCATGACACTTCTTTTGGGGAATGCCCTTGCATTAATAATCGTCAAATTTGGGTTCATTTGTTATATTTTGATATAAATTTGATGAGTGTATGCCAACTTGCGATCAACTCTCTACAACAACAACAAGCTTTTATCCCACTATGTGGGGACGTGAATTCTTTTTCTTTTTTGTGTCATGTTAAGGGTCAAATTCTCATCTAAGTCTAATAAAGAAAGGTAATTTCTAATATTTTTTAACCTAGACTTTTTAGATCTACCTCTACCTTTCTTAACATAAGTCAAATCTAATACATCTACTTTCCTAACCGGGTCATCGGAAGGCCGCCATTTTATGTGACCAAACCATCTAAGGCGACTCTCTCTAATCTTATCTTCCACTAGAGCTGCTAGCTACTCCAACCTTTTCACGTATATGCTCATTTCGTATCCTGTCTTTACGAGTAAAGCCACTCATCCAACTGAGCATCCTCATTTCTGCAACACTTAACTTAATATTATGCTTCTCTTTTAATGGTCAACATTCTGCACCATAAAGCATTGCAGGTCTCACTACCATCTTATAGAATTTTCCCTTAAGTTTGAGAGTCACTTTTCTATCACATAACAAGCCCGATGCATTCCGCCACTTCAACCATCCAACTTGAATTCTACTAATAAATTATCCATCTATTTCACCATCAATCTGAACAATAGACTCAAGATATCTAAATGCCTTTAGTTCAAATCAGGTTAAGTTCTATTTAAATTTGATTCGAACTATTTTGAATGAAGTTGTGAGTTGGACCAGATTGACACCAGGAATTTAAATTGCTTAGGAATCTGATCTTGTCTCAATTTGATTTCTATATCTGATTTGATAGGGTGGAGAGGGCATTTGCACAATTTTCTTTATATTGATGGAGCTTGATAAGTTAGGACTATGGCTACATCATAAAAGGAAGGCTACTTGAGGAGTGTGGTAACCATTTATAGATGGAGGAGAAGCAAATAATGATTATAGGGGTGGTTATGTGAGGAGAAGTTGGGTAGTATGACGAAGGAGAATTGAAGACTTATGGTCATATTGTGGTGACATATTATTTTATTTATAATTGGGAGATCATCTAAAGCTTTGGGGAGTGATAGTGTGGAAGACTATTGTGCATGGATGAGTAGGATAGGGCATCCACTTGGCGCCTATGATGAATAAGAGAGGTTTAGCAGGAAAATATTGAGATAAAGGGCAGCTTTGTGGTGAAGGAGATGAGGAAATGGGCAAATGACATTTGTGGTTGGTTGACTATTGTTATTGATTGAATGGGGAAGGGTAGAGAAGTGGAATGTAGAGAGAAATAGAGAGGGATTTATATGGATTAGGGTTTAGGTTATTGGAGATTCCCATTGCATAACATCTAGTAGCCGAGATTAGGACCATATATATACTTATTGTTGTGTGAGGTTTTAATTGAGTCTGCTCAACTCCAAATTTGTGTTTATTAACCGGAATGTCATAATTGGATAATCATCTGGTTGGGCTTTCTAACAGGGTCTTAGAGTGATGGACCAGATGAGCTGGTCCAGCAAGGGGGCCCAATTTAGCTGGCAAGTGGAAGAGCCCTGTGGGCCCCACTAGTGTGGGCGGCAGTCAAGGAGAGAGGGTGATGCATTTAATATGTATCTACATGTGTTTTATGATTTGAATGTTTTTAAATTTTTATTTTGGTCTTATTTAATTTGGAATTTTATGTTTTATTTTTGCTTACCCTATGATGGAAGGCAACTTATGAACATGTTTAGGTTTGGTGCTCTTTAAACATTTCACTCCTTTGGTTTGCTAGCTTTTTTTGGTTATTTGGGCATTTAATGGTGGGCTGAATTTCTCTTATTGAACTTGGCCCATTTTCCCTTTCTTTGGCTGCTTGGTGTCTTGGTTTTCTCGGCTAAAGAGGGGTTGCTTTGGTTTCCTGCTTGGGGGGCTGGCTGCTTGGTTCGTGGGCTGGTCGTGCCTCTTTGTTGGTGATTTCCCATAAATGTTGGCTGCTCCTATTGGAGGCTTGGGCGGCTCCTTTTGGAGGGCTGTTTGGCTTCATTTTCCCTATTTAAGGAGGCTGATTTTTGCTGTTCGGAGGTCTTGTTGAATCTGAAATTGCTTCTAAACCTGAGAGTTTTCTCTACCTAGCTTGAGAACTATTTCTTTCCCACCTATTTCTTCTTCTACTATTCTATCTACTTCTTCTCTCCATAAGTACCTTCCATTGTATCTTTCTTCTCTACATAAAAGTTTGAATGGTGTTGTTAGTTAGTTTATTAGTATTTGCCAGAGGAGTGCTTATGATTTTTGGATCAAGATTGCTGTGGTGGACCCCTGGTTTGAATGTTGTTTAGAGTACCTAATATTTCCTAATTATATCGATACATGCGAGTTGACCTTTAAGGTTGATCGGAGGATTTTATAATTTTTTTTTCTTTCTAAAGTTCACTTTTATGCTTCTTGCTTTGGTTTGTTTCTTTGTCAGTGGTTTATTAACTTTTTTGGGTTGAGTTCTGTTCCATTTGTCACTTGTGTTCTCCTTTTTGTTTTTTAGATCTTAGTTCTCATCAGAGGGGGGACTCCAACAGGATTAATTCTACCTTTATAACTTCCCATAGAAAATTAAATTTGGGAGGGAATTAGGAAGGTTTATTTAGAGAAATATGGCTGATTTGAATTCAATTTTGGAGAGAGAATTAGAAAGGTTTATGTAGGGAAAGAGGGTTGATTTGAATTTAGATTTGGGAGAGAATTATGAAGGTTTATTAAGGGAAAGATGGTTGATTTGAATTCATATTTGGGAGAGAATTAGGAATGTGTATTTAGGATTAATTAGGTTGTTTTATTTTCATTATGGGATATGTGTTTTTGTTGTAGTTCTCTTTAGAGTTGTTCCTAGTAGCATCTAGGGTTTGTGGAGAGTCGATCTACCTCTCGAATAGTAGATCAACTTGTATCTTGGTTTGTTTTGTCAATATTAAAAGACATTAGTTGATGATCTCATTCTTTCTTGATGATTTATACTACATTTTCTCTTCCTTATTATTGCTTTTGGCTGTGCGGAGATTGGATTCCTATCAAATTGGTATCAGAGCATCTTTTTGGGTCATATGATTGCTAAGAAGGTTGATGTGTTGGAGAAGATGCTTGATGGGGAAGTCAAAAATCTAAAATATGAATTCGAAGAGCGAATTTTAGCAATTGAGGGTAGATTTTCGAATGTGGAAGAGATGATGAAAATGATGCTAGTGCTTCAAGACAATACAACATCATCAGAGCCAAGGACATCGTTGAACGTACAAGGAATTGGGGGAAACCCTAATTTAAGGATGACGAGGGAGGATTGAGAGGTGGAAATTTTGAAGGAAGAAGATGAGATGCCACCTTTGGAGTCACTTCTAAGGAGGGGAATGGGTGAAGGGCATGGCCGGCGAATAAATTGGGATGATGAAGATCGGAGAGCTGATTTGGGGGAGAGAGAGAAACATGGAGGGATCACAACACTTGCTACACTGGAGGAGGAAAAAGCTATTGGGACGTTGGTGATCCTAAGGTGAGAAAGTTGAAGATGTCGATTTTTGTGGGAGAAGATGCTCGCATATGAATTTATAGGGTGTAGTGATATTTTGCTGTAAATGAGTTGACAAAAGATGAAAAACTCATCACGACCGCTCTATGTTAGAAAGGTAAGGCTCTGTCCTGATACTAGTGGAGAGACTTGCGAGATCTGATTCGATCATGGTGTGAGTTCAAAGAATGTATTCTAGAACGTTTCTGAACCAGTCGGGAAGAAAACTTCTATGAATAGTTCTTCGCTCTGGTGCAGGAGGGGGCGATGATAGATTACCGAGAGAAGTTTAAGCACTTCTCGAGGCAATTAGGAAGGTTGTCAGAGACTGTGTAGAGGGAACTTTATGAAGGGGCTTAAGATTGATATTCGAGCAGCTATTCAAGTATTGAGACCACGTGGCTTCGAAGATGCTATGGAGTTAGTCTAGCTAGTGGAGGATAAGAACTCCTTGCAGGGGAGTAGCCTAGCAGCAGTTCAAGAGTCTCTTATCCAACAACCACTACATTTCAATCGCCAAAGGTGCAAATGGTGCCTATTCAGAAGAAAGCCCCAAGCGATAGAGGTCAGGGAGTACGACTAGGGGGGAACTTTAAGAGGTTGACTAAGTCATAAATTCAAGAAAAGAAGGTAAGAGTTTATGCTTTAGGTGTGATGAGAAGTTTTCTCTAGGAAACTGTTATAAGAACCGTTTGTTATAGGTCCTGATAGTCTACGATGAGGAAGATGTTGCAGATGAATAAGTATATGAGGAAGATGATCACCTGCACTCAGATGTTACAGAGGTGTCCCTTACATCAATGGTCGAGTTCACACTAAACCACACCACGAAGGTTAAGGGGAAGATCGAGCATCAGGAGGTGGTATTACTGGTGGATAGGGGTGTAATAACTCAAATTTTTAAATGAAAATTTGAATTTTAGTACCGTGCCTTGCCAAAGAAGGAAGCTATATGAAGGAGAGAGAATATTGTTTTGAGTTTTTTTTTTGTCCGTCAATTTTGTTCAAAGATTTCTTCTATTCATTCTAAATAACCCAAATCTTATTTTAGTTTTCAATAATTTTGAGTTTGACATATTTCTTTTCTCATAAATTGATAAAAATATATATTTTCATGATTTTTCGAGTTTTTACTATATAACTTTCGTATATAATAGATATGAATAATGTGAAAATTTTGATAACAACGTCATTAAATTTCACTGGGTAGAATTAAAGTTATGAATTTCTAAAGTTATAGATATTATATAGATTTTCTTGTATTGAACAAAATTGATTATTTCATACTGCCTTTTAATTGTGGCATTTGCATAAACAAAAAAGGATGGTTATTAATACTATAAAATGGGTTGGTTGTTAAAACATAATACCCTACGCAAGAGGGTGGGCCGACGGGCTTACCTTTAAAGATGGTTTGTGATATTATCCCGGTTATAGCATGTAATAGATGACCGAATCACGCCGACGGATAGAGGGTGACAACTCTTAATGATTGTTCAAAGTCACATGTAATAATAATGATAAAAATGAAAGATATTGATATAAAGAAATAACAAATGAAAGGATGAAAACACCACATTAAAGCTGTAGTAATATGTGTACATAGATAACATATAAATGATACAAGTATTCATTTCATATAATTCATATGATGGATGTAAGATGATAAAACTAGTAATATTGACTCCTGTGTGCCTTTGATTCTTTTTACTAGCGCTTGAATGATTATAATATCATTGTTTTATTGATTTATTGATTCTTATGCCTATTATAGATTCCTAGATTCATTGTGATGATTTTCCTACTTTTATTATTGATCATTTTGAGCTTTACAAATGATAATTGATCATTGATGAGATTGATCTTATTGACTGAACTGAGTATGCATATTGATTTTTCTAGTCTTGTGTTGAAAGCTTTAGTGAATTTGATTTACTGCTAGACTTTTTGGCTCATTATGTGGATTTTAATGATTTTAGGTTGGGAAAGGGGCCAGGATCAGGTGGAGTGAGATTGATCAAGATCCTCAAGTTTTCTTTTGATTTTGTTTTTATTTTTTCCTTATTTTTTGTACTCAGGAGTTTGTGATAGAATAGTAATTGCATTAATCTCCTAACTATTGTATATTGATTTTGGGGAATGAATACAGTGCAATATTTTGAGGTATGCAATTGATAGTTTCTTTCACTGGATATAAATTTATTATTTTGATTTTTTATTGAAGCTTTGGTTAATTAATTAAGAAAATAAAGTAGATAATTCTTACAAATTTGATTCTGGGGCGTTACAAGTGGAGCTATCTATAACTTCATTTTCAACAGGATGGTGGATTAGTTGGGACTGAAATTAGTGGATATGGGGGGCTTTAGGGTTATGTTGGGAATATAAAAAGTAGAGAGGAGTAGAGGAATTTGCAAAAGGGTGATCCTAACCCTTCCAGAGATTCAGGTATTGGAAGACTTTTTGCCATTGGATTTGGATAGCACTGATGTGATACTGGAAATGAAGTGTCTGCAGAAGTTGGGGAAGACTAAGATTGATTAGAAGGCTCTAACGATGGGGTTCAAGATTGAGGGGAGGAGAGTGGTTATTAGAGGGGATCGTAGCCTGTCAAAAACTATGGTTTCACTCAAATACATGGTGAGTGCTCCAGAAGGACTTATGCAACCTCTAGTTTTGCCCGAGAATGTGTGGGAAGAGATAACCATGGATTTCATTGAACGTCTGTCAAAATCGGAGGGGTTTTCAGTGATTTTGGTAATAGTGGATAGAATGAGCAAGTAAGCTCACTTCAGTTCCTTGCGACACCCATATATGGTGGTTTCAGTGGCAACAACATTTATTCAGAGGTGGTCCGCCTACATGAAATTTTGGATTCCATAGTGACAGATATAGACAAGATGTTCTTGAGTCACTTTTGGAAAGAGATTCAGGATGTAGGGGGCCATTTTTAAGAGAAGTATAACATATCATCCACAGACTGATGGGTAGACCGAGGTAGTGAACATTACTGTGAAAACTTATATGAGATGCTTTGTATCAGAAACACCCAAAACCTGGGTGAAGTGGCTAGGGTTTATGGAGTCGATATACCTCTCAAATAGTATGTCAACTTGTATCATGGGTTTTTGTGCCGATATTAGACATTAGCCTATAATCTCATTCTTTCTTGCTGATTTTGGATGTGTTTTCTCTTTGTAATTGTTGTTTTTGACTGTGGAGATTGGATTCCTATCATAGAGTTGATTTTATTGTACCTATGTTTCAAATTGCTAAGTCGGTTTGGTTTAACAGTTGCATTATTTTAAGTGTTGGATGTCGACATGCTTATGAATTTATAATAGAGGTTAGAGATGGAATTGTAACAACTAGGCGCTGATGTATTCACACTTGCTTCGTTTTCTTGGCATGCTTATGTTTTATTTCCCATAAAGCTATTTGTTATGGCTAACTTTCTGTAGAATTTGGCTGATCTATTGCTGCACAAATTATTATGATTTTTCCTGTAGACCCTCTTTGAACAATCTTATTTTCTATAATGTTTGAAAACTTGACTGGTAAGGTTATTATGCCTCATGTTGGTATGAAACCTTTATTTTTGTGATTTGTTTTTTGCTTAGTTTCTAGGCTATTGTATTCTTCTTTTTTGATTTAAGCCAAAAAGTTCATACCATTTCCCCTTTTATGTCCACAGTCCTTACTCTGGCCAGTTCAGTGGTGAGAACATTAGACTGGGTTCTCGTGGTGATAGTTACTATGAATACTTGATTAAAGTTTGGATTCAGCAAAAGAATAGCCGTAACAATCACCTGAAGTATTTATATGACATGTATATGGAAGCTATGAAAGGTGTCAAGCACCTTCTTGTTCGTAATTCTACACCTAAAGGATTGGTTTTTATTGGAGAGCTGCCTTATGGATCCAAGGGTTCCTTCAGTCCAAAAATGGATCACCTGGTAAGTTACAATTTTTGATGTAGCAAATTTGTTTAACATGAAGGTTAATCGTCATTCCTGTGTAGCAATTTTGCTATTAATATCAAGTACATATCTGAATCTGCATGCCATTTTGCTATCACTTCCGCAATAATATTTTTTGCACCTTTCGTGGCTATTCTTTAACTAGCAGCTTGTAGATTTTCCATTTTCACTGTCAGGGTTCCTGAATGTCATTTTTGTGCCATGTTGATGAACCTATCCATCTTGCAGGCGTGCTTTCTTCCAGGTACCCTTGCTCTAGGTGCAACCAAGGGTCTTACAAAGAGAAAAGCAGTAGAACTCAGTCTGCTGACCGCTGAAGATTTGGAAAATTTATCTCTTGCTGAGGATCTGGCTAAGACCTGCTTTGAAATGTATTCTGTAACTTCAACAGGTCTAGCTCCAGAGATTGTTTATTTCAATATCGAGGTGAGCTAGTTGAAGATGAGTTGGAGGATTATTTCAATAACATCTTAATTGATTATAATCTTGGCTATTGTTTCATATTTCTCTTCTGCGATGCTGACGATCTTTTTTATTATTATTATTATTTTGAATTAGGGTAATTTGGAGCATGGCCTTGATGGTGGGAACAAAAGCTCAGAATACGTAAATGACATAGTAATTAGGCACAATGATCGGCACAATCTTCTGCGCCCTGAAACATTGGAATCTTTATTTGTACTCCATCGCATTACTGAAGATCCTAAGTAGGTTTACCTTCTATAGGGCCTCTGTGCTCTCTTAAATACTTTTACTATTTTGTAGGATAAAATGGTTGTTCTTGGTTATGTGAAAATCATGTTGCCATGCTTGCAGATACAGGGAATGGGGTTGGCAGATCTTCCTAGCTTTTGAAAAACATACCAAGGTGGATTCTGGTGGTTACAGTTCTCTAAATGATGTCACAAGAGTTCCCACCCCCAAAAGAGACAAGATGGAGACTTTTTTCATGGGAGAAACGTTGAAGTACTTATATTTGTTATTTGGAGACGATGATATTCTTCCTTTGGATAAGTTTGTTTTCAATTCAGAAGCACACCCTTTGCCAGTTATCTGATCCGCCTAATTGTTCTTTAACACATGCATCTCTCAAATTTTTATCATTTTTGAGGGAAAAGTGAACAGAATCCTTCTGCCTTGCAAGCTTGGAGGAAATCAAACTGGGTCACGGAAATTAATGGGCTGTTTGCTTTGTGGATTATAGAAAGAAAACGGTGTCTTTCCTCTTTTTTCTTTTTTTCAATAGGGCCTTAGGATGCATATCTTCATAATGTCTTTTGGTCCATTAGCTGTCTTATTGTATTGATCATTTTCAACTGATCTTTAGCCAGACAGGTGGAGTAGAATTTTCATTTTCCTTTAATTTAGAACTTGAGTTATATCAAGCAGAGAAGCTATCAAGTTTAGCGATTTGATGAGAGAGATTGTTGTATGATTTTGAAAAATAATTGCGGTTGTAACTGATGAAACCTTCCAGTAAATTATTTAATGTGAATGCAAAAGTCATCTATCTATTTTTTATGTTATTCTTTGACAATTTTGTATACACATAACAAGATCCGCGCTTCTCAACATTTGTTATGTTAAACTTTTTCATGTCATGTAGATTATTAATGATCCTCAACTAGATACAAATGGTCTCCATCTCTCACTGTGGTGATGTCATCTATTTCTGCATTCTCCTGATTCACTACTTTTGTAGGATTACAGCCCTCAAACTTCTGACCTGCAGTTTTCCAGTTTACAGGTATAGTTAGTATTCTGAAATGAAAATTTTCAAAACTAATCTGGCATTTATAAGTAAAGATTATGTACACATTTGAATGTCAACTAACGTATGTGCTTTGTTTCTTTCCAAGAAAATGTAGCAGTTTGTGCATCATGCAGTTTTTCTTTGCATGTGTGCTGATAATTGAGCGATTTTAAATGAATTCTTTTGTTATATGTTAATTTGTTATATTTTCAGGTTTAAATGAATGCTTTTGCTGAATGATACCACACTTACTGCCTATTCTGAGAAGCTCATCCACAGATTCAGGTAGAATTATCAACTTCCCCAAATTTTCTCTTGATCCACATGTCACTTCAGAAAGCGCATGAATGGTAATTCTTCTATTTACTAATCTCATGCTACCATTACGTAGTGGCTGTGTTCCTGTTTCGGAGTGAGTTGGCCCCATTGTTTCATATTGCAAGCATTTGAAGCTGGAATCCAATTCTATGTTTCTTTGGATCTGATTGTCTCTGTTACTGTTTGTTCTTTTTGATTGTTTGCTTTCAGTTTTCCTTCTAGTCTCTAGCAATGATAAAAAACCTTGGGGATTCCCTTTCACCTGTTTTTCAAACAAAGATTTTGTCCAGCCAAAGTGTTCTGTTTCATCCAGATTTGTTCTTTGCTTTAGTAGAGGCTTCCTCTTGTCATAATTTTCCAGCTGAATCAAATTGAAATTAGTTATGTTGCGGAGGACCTTGTCTGTTTGATCTACTTGACTATCCTCAGTTGCCATGTTTCCTTTAACTACGGGTCTTCTATGATCCACATTGTTTTCCTGGTATTCTGTGGTGGAAAACTGCTCTCTGAAAGCAGAGGTATCTGACCATTCTCTGAGAAATGATAATGATCCTAAGCCTTCTATTTGCATTCTTGATAAATTGCCATGATTCCCTAGCTTCTGTAAATTGGTCACAGAATGATCAGATGCTATTTTTGTAATCAATAAGAAACTCTTTTCAAAGCATTTTATGCTATAGTTTGGCAAATTATTCTCCAACCACCTGGGTGAGGGGTATTGCCTTTGATCTGTAAAGTAGTCGCCAAGGTTGAAAAAAAAAAGTAAGTTTTCCAAATCAAATCTACTTAATACCTGGAGAAGGTTGTTCATGATGAGAGTTCCGTCTTTTATACTTCCTCGGACAATATTGATAAATGCAGTTCTACGCAGTCTTAGAATTTGTGTGAGCTCAGTGGTACTTATGGTGAATGGTTGAGGGGTATCACATAGAACACCAACTTCTCCAAACATGTCCCCAGCATATGCCCTTCCCTGGACCTGTACAAATATGAATAATGTAAAAACAGCCACGTAGTTCATGATTTTGATCTTCTTTTGTTTCTTTTTGTCAACTAGAAACAAGGAGATTAGGAGCGAAATAAAAGAGAATTCACTTTCAGCATTTTTGCTCAGGACATGTCACTATGTTAGTTTTGGTTTTATTCGTTTTTCCGTGTGTGCTTTTGGGGGAGTGGGTATTTGGATGTGCGCATGTCAATTGATTTTTGATAGTGTGGATATCTTTCATATAAAGAAGGGAGAAGAAACAAAAAATTTAGAGGGTGAGGGTGTAGTGATGCTGTGTATCCTAATGAGAGATATAACTTGTAATGTTCCAAATTGAACACTTACTCTACATAACAAATGCATAAGGACAAACTTCAAACTTTTCAAAAATGTTGTTGATCATTTGGTGTATGTAAGTAGATTATGATAGGAAGTGGATGCAATTTCAGCGAAACCAGAGAACGGCATAATAAATTTAGCAAGAAGAACACACAAGAACTCTTTTATTGAAAGAACTAAGAAGAAAAAACACAAGATACAGTTGGATCTTTAATTGGAGAGGAAGATACGGCTCTCCCAAATTCCTAGCCGTCAGCTTGAGCCCACTCAACCTAATCAAATATAATTCTAGCAAAATCAAGCATAATCTGAAATCACTCCATAGTTAGCCTTAAATAGGCTCCCCTAATTCCCTCCCAAATCACCCCCATTTCCTTACAATTCCCTCTCAGAGTTGAATTCAAATTAGATCTCTTTCCCTAATTAATTCCCTCCCAATTATAATTAATACTATCTTAAATAATCCCCATTTGATTCCTCTTTACATAATGAATATTAACTCCCTTCATCTTTCCCTAAATAATTCTCTCTTATTTGAATTCAAAAAATATTTTTTTATCTAATTAATTTCCTAAATAATTTCCCCGCTCTCTTCTTATTTGTGAGAGAGAGTCGCCTTAGATGGTTTGGTCACATAAAACGGTGGCCTTCCGATGACCCGGTTAGGAGAGCAGAGGTATTTGATTTGACTTATGTTAAGAAAGGTAGGGGTAGACCTAAAAAGACTTGGTTAGAAAATATTAGGAATGACTTTCTTTATTAGATTTAAACGAGAATTTGACTTTTAATAGGACATAATGTAGAAAAAGGATTCATGTAACCGACCCCACATAGTGGGATAAAGGCTTGTTGTTGTTGTTGTTGTTGTCTCTTCTTGCCCGCTGCCCACCCTAGTGCAACCCACCGGCTCAACCGCAAGTCCATCAATACTCCTCTCCTAAAGACCCAACTTATCCGCTAGGTGGAAAGACTAAAACTGCTGCTTCATCCTCTCGTACAACTCCCTCTTTAATTTTCTCGTCATCACAAATGGTGAGAACTTGAAGAGTTTGGTCCTTACATTTATACCCTGATGTATACCTCTCAACGCATTTGAAACACAACTCCTTTTCACTCTTCTCTTGTAACTCCATCTCTGTCAGCTTCGTAAATTTTCCCCCAGGTCTCTCGCCATCCGCCACCACCTTCTCCGGTGAATATCTCTCCGGTAACAAAGTCTTTCGTCGCCTTCATCGTAGTGGTGCTCCTCATCCTCGCATGGTTCTTTCTTCTCCGCTAAAGCCCAAGAGTGAACGAGAGAGAGAGAGAGAGGGTACTCAAGGTGAACTTCTTTATTATTAATTGTGGGATTTTGTTATGAGCAATTAAGTAGATCTTTTTATTTTGGAAATGCTATGAATTGTTTGGTTATCTCAAAGCAAATCTTCGCCTAAGCAAGTCAATTACCTCGAACGAATTAATCCTTCATTTTATTGTTAATAAAATTTGTTTTGACAACCCTTTGAATAATTTTCATTTTAATTTCCAATCGCAATTCCTACATTGATTCACATCAGTGAGGGTGTAGTGATGCTGTGTAGCCTAATGAGAGATATAACATGTAATGTTCCAAATTGAACACGTACTCTACATAACAAATGCATTAGTACAAACTTCAAACTTTTCAAAAATGTTGTTGATCATTTGGTGTATGTAAATAGATTATGATAGGAAGTGGATGCAATTTCAGCAAAACCAGAGAACGGCATAATAAATTTAGCAAGAAGAACACACAAGAACTCTTTTATTGAAAGAACTAAGAAGAAAAACACAAGATACAGTTGGATCTTTAATTGGAGAGGAAGATATGGCTCTCCCAAATTCCTAGCCGTCAGCTTGAGCTCACTCAACCTAATCAAATATAATTCTAGAAAAATCAAGCATAATCTGAAATCACTCCATAGTTAGCCTTAAATAGGCTCCCCTAATTCCCTCCCAAATCACCCCCATTTCCTTACAATTTCCTCTCAGATTTGAATTCAAATTAGATCTCTTTCCCTAATTAATTCCCTCCCAATTATAATTAATACTATCTTAAATAATCCCCTTTTGATTCCTCTTTACATAATGAATATTAACTCCCTTCAGCTTTCCCTAAACAATTCTCTCTCATATTTGAATTCAAAATATATTTTTTTATCTAATTAATTTCCTCCCAATAATAATTAATTTCCTAAATAATTTCCCCTCTCTCTTCTTGCCTGCCGCCCACCCTAGGGTTGCCTGCCGCCCACCCTAGTGCAACCCACCGGCTCAACCGCCAGTCCATCAATACTCCTCTCCTAAAGACCCAACTTATCCGCAAGGTGGAAAGACAAAAACTGCTGCTTCATCCTCTCGTACAACTCCCTCTTTAATTTTCTCGTCATCACAAATAGTAAGAACTTGAAGAGTTCGGTTCTTACATTTATGCCCTGATGCATACCTCTCAACTCATTTGAAACACAACTCCTTTTCATGAGCTTCGTAAATTTTCCCCCAGGTCTCCCTCCTATGGTCTTCTCTTTCAGGGTCTCCCTAAGAATACCCAGTGTCGGCTGCTTGGATGCCCAAAAGATGGTGGTCATTTTGTATTAACCTCCTAAGTTGCTACCTGTAGCCCCTCTCTCCAGGTGCCTTTGATCCTCCACTAATTAGGCTAGCTCCATAACCTCTCCCAAATTATGAGTCCTTTTACTCTAACTACTTCATCAATCACAGTTTTGAGCCCTTTTATAAAGTTCCTCTCCATGACAGCCTCCAGAAGCCGGTCCAATCAGCTAGCCAGGTGTTCAAACTACTCACAATACTCTACCAATATCCCCTTTTGTGTCAGAGCAAAGAATTTCTCATAGAAGTCTTCTCTCCTTCTTGTTCGAAAACATTCCAACAAAAACTCTTTAAACTCCCTCCTGGTCCGTATGGGCCGCCTCGTATCCCTCCACTGGTACCATATGTCAACGCTTTTACCTCCAAGCACAATCCGGCTACCGCCGGTCTCTCCTCCACCATCAACCTATTGACGGTAAAGTACTTTTCACCCTATAGATTCACATATGTGCATCATCTCCCTAAAAAATAGGCATCTTCAGCTTCCTTCCCCTCGGATGTCATCCATTACCACCATAATTTCCCATTCCCCAAGGGGGTGGTTCCCCTCAAATGTCCCAATCATCCCTTCTACACTCGTACCCAAACCCTTCGTCAAAATCCCTCATTTCAAGTTCAGCACTTCTTCGATCATAATCAGCCGCTTTCCTTTCAAATTCATCCCCTCTTCTTTCAAATTCAACACCCCTCTGATCATAATCAACCCATCCCTTTTCAAATTTATCACCCCTTCGCTCATGCCCAACCCCTTCACGCCTCTCCCATACCTTCTACCCGACTACTCCCTAAGATTAGGGTTTTCCCCATTTTCTTGGCTGCCGACTGCTCCCCTTTCTTTCGATGACATCATTTTGGTTTGGACCTCAAGCATCTTCCTTATCATCTCCTCCTTGATAGCAAACTTACCATCGATCTTCTCACGGATGGCTAAAATTTGAGTTTCTAACTTTGAAACTTTTTTCTAGAATTCCTATTTCAGTTGTCCGATCTCCCATTCTAACACTTGTACCTTTCTGCCTGCCATATGTATCCGAATTTTGGCTTCAACAACAAAAAAACAACTTGGATGCAAATCTAGCCTCCAAACAGCAAAAATCACCAAGAACGGAGAAAAAATGCAGTAGAATTCAGCGAGGGCGACTTTTATTTCAACCTAGAAAATTGCTCTGATACTAATTTGATAGGAAGCAGATGCCATTTCAGCGAAATTAGAGAACGACACTAGAAATTTAGGAAGAAGAATAGACAAGAGGGTTTGTTCTAGAGTATTCATTGATGAAAATAAGAAAAATATGTCATTTGTTTGGTCTGCAACCATGGACAGTTAGATGATTTGATTTTATCTGAGATGCTTTGTAAAGAAAACATTAGGGCTAAAGGCTTGAACAAAAGTCAACTATGATGGAAAATAGTATAATACATTCTATTGGGCTGGAATGGAATTCCTAATCAGATGTGTCCTTTCACACGATGTGCATGGCTTTGTAATGGAAGTGTTGTTGATGAATAACTTTATTAGAAGTCATTTGAAAAACTCAGATAAATTAAACCCAAATGAAGTTATTGGAAAAATGACTGGTGAATAAGCTTAAGTGACCAAAGTTGTTGGAATAAGGATAGTTTGTGGCAGGGGCGGAACCCCCTTTGATCCTAGGGGCAATTGCCCCCCACCCCCAAAAAATTTTTTTTTTTTTCATTATACGATTGTTTTGGTATTTTGTCCATCTCAATATATTTTTTAGTCTTTATTACAAGGTTGAATCCCGCAAGGGGGTGCTCCCTGACATATCTATCAACAGTTACTTATAAGTTTGCCCCCTCTAAAAATTATGGCTGGTTCCGCCCCTAGTTTGTGGTAATGATATTTAACCACCCAATTTATGTTGTTCCATTATCCATGTGCTTGTGAATTGTTTGCTCGATGCTTATGTTTATGGAAGGAACACTTACTTGCTCGATTCCATTTGAATGTAACTTGTACTCCTGCGACAAATTTAAAGTAAATAAGTCAACCTGTTCAAATGATGCTGGGGAATAGTGTGCCAATATATAACTGTAAGGAATTGGAGCTGCAACTAACCACTGCTCCTGATACGAGTATATAAAGTTCTGTTGGTGCTTCCCTCTGGTGAACTACATCTTCTTTTGGGGGAAAATAATCAGCTTGCATTTCTGCGACCTGTATTTGGCATGAAGACTGTCAGATTATACAAGGCAATCTCAGAATTTGTTTAATAGGGCAGTGGGCAAACAATGGCCAATGAGCTTTGACCGATTTTAGACTCTCACCACTTGATAAATGAAATTTTGGGACACTCCATTGAAAAGATACACATTTCGAACTACTGGAAAAAATAGGTAGTTAGCAACACTCGACTGAATTCCTTTTGGGAGGCCATTCAAGGTTTCTTGTTGTTTGAATCCTTCTGTCTTGAATTGCAGGAATATGTGAGATAGCATCTGATCCTTTATTTGTTGTGGTAACTGATTTCTTGCTGCAAATTCACTTGCTGCCTGGATTTTATCCCTCTATTTTATAGAAAAGAAAATGTTAGTAACTATATAAAGATGGCATAAAAACTTGTAATATAAGACTTTTGAAACTTCCTTTTAGCCGACTTCTTGGACCCTAATTGTGTCTATATTAAACACCCGAGTAGAAAATAATAATAATGAAATAAAAAATAAAAAAATTATTAAAAAAAAAAACACCCAGAGTAGAACCCATATATAAGTAGCTTGACATCCTAGAAATTTTCCTATTGAGATATACCTTATCTATGAAGCTACTTAAGTTCAAGAGGTCTTCTATACCAATTATAAAGATATGGATGCACAAGGTAGAATATGAACGCTTCATTAACTTTTCGAAGGGACTAGTTGCTTGGTGACTAAGAATTGAAGAGTGAAATGCTAGTTATGGTTAAATCTCAGCATGCAGTATTAACTTAATAAACATTAGAAGCAATACGTAATATAAGGGCAAAGGCAAGCAAGCAAGATGACTCTGTACACTTTCTGTGTAGTCATTATGATAGGAAATACTTGAGTTCGTAAGTTACCCTAAGGGTAATACTTGAGTTTGCAAGCAAACCTATCACCAATTGGTGAAAAACAGCGAGAATAACGCAAAATCTGAGTGAAATCAGCCACAAAACGATAGATTACGGTAGGAAAATCAAAGGGAGGCGGGACTAGCCCGCCTCTTGTATACTTGAACCGGCCCTGGACGGGCCGGTTGGGCCGATTCAGGAGGAACCGGCCTATCGCATTACATCTGCTTATATCAACTCTTATATTTTGTTCTAGCTTTTATTGTATTTCTAACACTTGTCATCATCAGCATTATCCCCGCTATCTAGGGCTGGGTTTTTCTTCCGATACTTCTATAGTTCTATTTTTCCTTGATATTGCAAAAACTATTGTTATTTGTTTTTAGTTCTTCAACCATATGATTAAGGCTTCGTTTGGGACGGCTTTCTTACTGCTTCCTAAAGCTGCTTTCTAGTAAAAAATTTTAATTTTTGTACTAAAAAGCTGCTTTAAGAAGCAGTAAGAAAGCCATCCCTAACAAAGCCTAAATATTCTAATTGTGAGGATGGAGAAGCCAGGCCAACTAAGAAGCAGAAAGGAACATACAAATTTTCTCGTGCGGCTTGTCCCATGAACAACAAGGTTTGTCATGTTTCCAATGAGATATGCTGTCAGGCCCAAATTAAATAACATGTAGAAAATATCGAACAGCATTTCTCTTGGATTCTCAGCATGCAAGTCACCATATCCAGTTGTTGTCAACGTTGTAATGGACCAATACATTGCTGTTACGTATCTAATCCACAGGCTTTGTGCTCTAAAGTTCGGCATTACTGCACCAATCCATGTTCTTCTTGCATCAGGATATCTGTCAGCAATGAAGTAGTTGAAACATCCAGCACAATGTACTGCAAAAAGTGTTACCTGTCGTTCAATCACATAACGTGATCAACAATTGGGACTAGTTCATAGATAATCTGGGAGTGAGGAATAAACAAAAAGAACTCGGCACTTACTAATACTAGTTTTGTGCAGCGGGTCCAGAAATAGTTGAACCGGATATCTTTCTCAAGTCTGATGAGAGTTATTACTTCAGCTACATATATGCTTTATTGGATTTTGATGTGAATTACAGAGCTACAGAGGAAGACACAGACCTTGCAAACAGGGAGCTGACTCGACGAAGGCGCCAAAGCCGAAGCATATTGAGTAACTTAAAGCCCAGGTCGCCGCCGTGTTTCTGGAAGAGGAGACTAATGTATTGGAAAGGTACTGTTGAACATACATCTAAGATGAACCATGAGGTTAGATACCTACAAGTTGATAAATTCAGGTTATAAAACAACCAAATCTCTTTGTAATGAATGAAAGATTCAGGTATTCACCTAACTGCAATTGTCTTGCGATCATCTACCAGAAGATAGGATTTTCGGTCAAGAAAAGCGACGAAGAAGGTCACGACTATGTCGATAGCAAAGAAGCCATTCACCATGTTATCGACATGAAAGAGTGTCTTTGACAAGTATCTCAAAAAGGCCAATTCGAATGGACAAATCCAGGCTGAATAAATTACTAGGAGGATCAGAAAAATTTCCCATGCTCTGTGTAGGGGAAGCAAAGAAGATCATTAACAAGTTTGCCCTTCTTAGTTCATTATCCAAGAAAAAGAAAAAGAAAAAGTAAGCGTACTATTACTTCACCTGTATCGTCGATCATAAGGAGAGATTATATGCTTTCTGAGCTTGGTTGACTGGTTAATGGTTGCTCCCAAGGATGGCAATAGATCAGTGGAGAAGCTCCATCCATTTTCTGATTGGAAGTTCTCCTCAGTGAAGCTTCTCAAGTAGGACTTAGCACAAGAGAATCTCATATTCTTCCTCTTTGCTGGTTTGGCTTACAAAGTTTTGGGTATGAGGTGGTGGGAATGGCTTGTGCATTTATACATGTTGGAAACATGGTCAAGTTTTACTTCAACTACCTCTGTGCCACGTAATGGGCCCTAATGAAACGAAGGAAGATATAGAAGATAAAAAAAGAAAATGAAAGAAGTTTGAATCTGACCCTACCAGATATAACAAGTGCATGTGTGAATGGAAATGATGAAAACGGCAAATTTGCATCTCCTAATGGAAGTTTGAAGGTTACTTTTGCATAGGTAAGATTTTGTGAACTATAGCAGAATTATACTTAGCAAAAATTGAGATCAATCTGCTCATTTAAAGAGAACTGAAAGCCTTCGGCTTTCAACTCTTTTTCCTGGAACTAATATTCTTTGTGGGAGCTTCTACTCTAATGGCAGGGTTTGTGTGGCCACAGTTGTTCACAAGGCCGCTGTCTGATTCTGAATGAATGGTTCTGCTGAAGGAGATTTCTCGGTACGTTCATTGAATTTTTTTTTTCTCTTAATTTGTTATGTTTAAACGTAGGCTTAGTCCAGTTCGCTTGACCAAGAATTTTACTGATAATGTCCAAATACCAAATACGTTCTTTATGTAATCCGTATAAAAAGAAAAGGGATTTTTTGGAAGAAGATTGAAGAAAGAGATTGTTCTTCTTCAAAAAAGAATTCTTCTAAGAATCCCGAACCTAACCTTCGCATAAAAGTGCGTACTGTACTTTTATGTTTACGAGCCAAAGTGTGAACCTAACCTTCGCAAAACTTGTTTCTTTGAGGATCCGCTGTGATAACGACAGAGATTTCTACATATCCGACAAAATCGATCAATAATTAACTACTCTGTGAATTTCACCACGAATATATATACAATAGATCACGATATATAAGCATTTCAGAATAAACATTTATGAATTTTTTTTTTTTCATGATCAGTGATTAGTTCCCTCATGTCATAAGTTCAAATCATAGAAATAGACTCTGCAGCCTCAGTGGTAAGTCCACATATCTAGACCAATAGAAACAAAATACTGGCTTCCATGGCTGTCTTGCTGAAGCATTCAAGAGCTGCTAACCACCATGTTAATAATGGTTTGGTTCCATCATTCAACCACTGAAATTGGCATTATTATGGTACGATGGGTCCGCTAAGCTTAGAACTAGTAACGGCCAAACTTCTAAACTAGCACCGTGATTATTGATTTAGGTTTCATTTGGGATGACTTTCTTACTGCTTCTTAAAGCAGTTTTCTAATACAAAAATTTTATAAAGCTGCTTTAAAAAGCAGAAAAAAAAACGTCCCAAACGAAGCCTTAGTTGAACATCTTTTCAAGTATTAATTAGTAACAGATCTGATTGACCGACTTGGCTGGATTATCTCCCCCTATCCATGGTCCCTACAGGTTACACGATTCTAGTATAGTCTACCACATAGCCATCGGCCATGATCCCATCCAATAATTTAGTTTCATGTGCCTTCTTAGTACCACCATGAAATAAATGCAACTCTTTTGATGGTTTCTTTTTAAATTAGATTAGATGAAAAATTATATTGAGATGAATTTAAAATTCATTAAACTTATTTTGTATTAGTACTGGACTAATCTCAAAATAAATTTAATAAGTTTTAAATTTATTTATATAGTTTATATCAGAATATTCTGATATGATTTTTATTCAGTATGATGATTCTCTCATGTTCTTCGTTCTATTTTTAAATCAAATGCAATACATCTCATTTTAGTCTATTGATTCAGAGATTTAGATCTTGTATTGTTTGCTTGTTTTTTTGGTTAATTTTGAGAATTTTTGAGTCAATTAAAGTAAAATCACGGACATCTCATATAAAAATTAAAAATTCAAGATATTTTAGGTTTCGTTTGGGACGATTTTCTTGGTGCTTCTTTAAGCAGTTTTTTAGTAAAAAATTAAACTTTTTGCATTAAAAAGCTACTTTAAGAAGCAGAAAGAAAGTCGTCCTAAACAAAATCTTAGTTGGTAGTCAAAACTCGACCAAGAAGACCTCTGTAAATCTTGCATTTTAAATGTGCGATTATTTCGCTTGAATGTCAAGAGAACAAAACAAATTAACTGTAGACTTTTAACAGAATCTGTCGGTTATGATTCCGTTCATTCATTTATTTCTTGGATCTTTTGCAGACCAATTCAAAGCGAGCAGTAAATCCTCACGTTGAGCCCCAGTGGAAGGGCAAATTATTGTGCCTGGTGTCCGGATTCGTCCGGACACTAATCCAGGCGCGTCACGTCAACAAAATACATCAGGTCCCGATGTATTTGGGTGATGTGGCGCATATAAATTGGTTGTCCGGAGATCAGGTGTCCGGACGCAATAATTCACCTAGTGGAAGACCACGAGGTATGTTTCTCTTTATCATCATAATTGTCATAGATATCGTTTCTTTTCTTTTTTCCTAACTGCTAACTGTTGTATGAGGGTTTTTTATCCATATTATGTTAGGGAAAATGCTATATTGTGCATCATAATCCACAAAAAAATAAATAAATAATTTCGCTGCATTGGCATTATGGGAGAGAGATCTAATTTAGGCTTCATTTGGGACGATTTTTTTACTGCTTCTTAAGCAGCTTTCTAGTTTAAAATTTTAAATTTTGGGACGGCTTTCTTATTGCTTCTTAAAGTAGTTTATTTAGTATAAAAGTTTTTTAAATTAGAAATTTTTGTACTAAAAAGCTATTTTAAAAATATTAAGAAAGTCGTCCCAAATGAAGTCTTAATAAGTTTATGTGATTATGTATTGTACTATTGAAATGTGCATTTGCATTAATATATCAAAATAAATAAAAATGTGTAATTATATATGCAAAATTAAAATTTTGTACTTAAAAAATGCTTGAATAAGCAGTAAGAAAGTAATCCCAAATGAAGCCTAAGGCTCCCTTTGGGATGTCTTTCTTACTATCTAAAATGACTTCTTAGTAGAGTCGATTACATCAACTTTTTTTTTTCCCATTATGTTCTATTAAGAGTCCAATTGTCTATACTTATTTAAAAAAAAAAGCGGGGTGATATAGTATTACTTTAATTTAAAATTTGATTTTATATTATTCTAATTATTTTTTTGTAGATATATGCTTCATTTGGGATTTTTTTTTCTTGTTTTTTAAACTATTTTTTGTATAAAAATTTTTTAAACTAAATTTTTTATTAGAAGCCACTTTAAAAAATAATAAGAAAGCTGTCTTAAAAGAAGCCTTACATACATATCAAAAATTTTTTTTATTTATTTCCATATTTAATATTTAATTTTTTATATTTAGTTACATAAGATTATAATATTTAAATCATATAAATAAATCATAAATCTTAATTTATGCAAATAAATATTATATATATATTGATGTGCTTTATTTATTGAAATATCATATAAATAAATTTAAAGATTTAATCTCATTATTTTTCTAAAATAATCTCGTGTCAGAATAACTCATTGGATGCTTCTCTTGTTTGATATGAAATTGAATTGAATTGTTCCTATTCTTTTGGGATTCCATAAGCTGATTTTTATTAATCTATAATTATTGCAGAGTATAAACAACGTGCAGATTAATTATAAATTTCTCCATCACATGTTTATCATAAATACAGAATTTATTATAAGATGATTTTTTTTTCAATAAAAATAAAAATAAAAAACCTTTATAAAACATGTTTTTTTTTTTTATCCTTTATGAAATATGCTTAAGAGAGAATTGATGCTAAAAACAGTAGAGAAGTTCAAATTTCTCTTTTATGTCAAAGTTGATTAGAATAACGCAAAGAATAAATCCTTCTGATTTCATATTTATCTTCTTAGAATAAATTTTGGGTGAGAATAAATAAGAATTTGATCAAAATAAATTTGTAATTATTAAATTTAATTTAATTTTTGATCTAATTTATGATTATTAATAAAAAAAATTGTTTTAAGACATCTTTACTAAGAATTAGTTAGATGAATCTTAGATTTCAGCTTTATTTGAGATGGTTTTTTTACTGTTTTCTAAAGCAGCTTTTTAGTAAAAAATAATTTCTTTAGTACTAAAAAGCTTCTTTAAGAAGCAATAAGAAAGCTATCCCAAAGGAAGGCTTCATTTGATATAGCTTTCTTACTGCTATGTTTTACGTATAGTAATCTTAGTTTTTATTTGGTTATTACTTTTTTGTTGTTTAAAAAAAATAATATTAGACAGATATTTTTTGCAATAGTTTTAAAAATTTATTTTCACTGAGTCCGTCAAAGTTTTGTTGTTATGGGAAAAATAATTATATATATATATTAATTTTAAAATAAATCTAAATTACTTCAGATTAAAAAATTTTAATTAGAATATTTTGATTCATTTTTTTAAATTATTGATCAAAATGTATATTATATTTATGAAAAAAATTGGAGGAGAATATTCTTGATTTTATCTTTTGCGTCTTGAGTCATTTAATACGGGTGGTGTTGGTCACTGATCTCACAAGAACAAGAACTCACAACCCTCTCTTGTGTGGTGTATATATGTTGCATTTCCTTAGAAAGTTTATCTTCCAAAATTTGAATTTATTTTCTTTGAAAGCGAAGTGAAGGTTTAGGTTTTATTTGTGACGGTTTTTTAAATATTTTTTAAAAAGCTTTAAGAAAACTGCCGCAAATAAAGTCTTAAAGGTCACTATGGCAACTTGTTGATGGCTACTGATGGATAACATTGCTTCACCCCAAGTGGTATAGCAAAATTTATTATATATATATAGGGAAAATTGAGGATCACACGTAAGGTGTAAATGAGTTGAGTCAAGTATCTCCTTAATCGAGCTAAGCTTGTTTAATTCTTACTATGCTCGAACCCGATTGGTTGAAAAATGATCGGCTCAAGCTCATTTAGAAAGATCAAGCTCGACTCACTTGTTAAGTTCGATTTCTTAGTTTTCTTAGTTGAGCTTGACTCGAGTGTTGAGCTCATTTGGAGTGTTTATAATGCATAAGTGTAGTCTAAAGTTTTGTTTGGGACAACTTTCTTACTACTTTTTAAAATAATTTTTTAATATAAAAATTTATAATTGTTTTAGAAAAGAGTAATAAAGTTGTCCCAAATGAAGATAAATAATTATGCAAGTGAGTTATTCTAGAAAAACTTATGTAAGTAGATCAATTCAATTTAGATAAATAATAAATAAACATCTAAGTTACACAAGTGTTCAAATAGTTAAATATAAATATGATGAAATATATAATTCATATGTCATAAAAAAATTATCTTGATC